CTTGTGAATTCTACACTGTTATAATCTATTCTCTTTGACAATAGAACATTCTAAACTGTTGTGAGCATGAAATCATAGAAGCGATGTCATCCATTCCAGGTGATGGGCGGAGCCTGTATGATACAAGACATGTGATCTCTTATGATGAGGGCGTGGTCTATCAAAGTGGGGAGGAGTCTCTGCATCAAAAAGTTTATAAATAGACGATCTTTCAGACAGACTTCACTAACTTATTTTCCTTTTATTTCTGCAGGTTCTCCATAGTAATATACACTTAAGACAGGATCAGGTAAAACTAGGTAAGGTAACAAGGTATCAAATTCAACCACTAATTTCAGGGTAGCATGTTTTTTTTTAGATCGGATTTATCATCTGGGGGGTAATGTAATGGGACATGAATATATCCTTTCTCTCCTATCTATCCATCCATTGTCTATACTGCTTTTTGTTAGTAAGGACAAGGGCTGGCTGGAACCCATGTAAGCTGACATTGGTTGGGAGGTGGCAAATATCCATGACATTTTGCATGGCCATCACAGAGCAACTCATAGCTTGTGAATTCTACACTGTTATAATCTATTGTCTTTGCCAATAGAACATTCGAAACCGTTGTGATCATGAAATCATAGAAGTGATGTCATCCATTCGCAGGTGCTGGGCGGAGCCTGTATGACACAAGATATGTGATCTCCTATTGATGATGGGCTTGGCCTATAATACTGGGGAAAAGACACTGCCCCCAAAAGTTTATAGAAGTGATGTCATCCCCTCTTGGTGATGGGCGTGGCCTATCATAGTGGGGAGGAGTCTCTGCATCAAAAAGTTTATATATAGACGGTCTTGACAGACTGACTTCACTAAATTCTTTTCTTCTTCTCTTTGCAGGTTTTCCATGGAAAGATTAACTTTAGACAGTAGCAGGTAAGACCAGGTATCGATCTTGGGTAAAACTAGGTAAGGTAACAAGGTATCAACCTCAGGTAAAACTAAGTAAGGTAACAAGGTATCAATGTTAGGTAAAACAAGGTAAGGTAGCAAGGTATCAACCATCAACCATCAACCTAATTTCCAGGTAGCCTGGTTTATTTGAGATCAGGTTTATCATTTGGGGCGTATGATTATATCCTTTCTCTCCTATCTGTCTATTCATTGTCTATACTGATTTTTTTTTGTAAGGACAAGGGCTGGCTGGAACCCATGTAAGCTGACATTGGTTGGGAGGTGGCAAATATCCTGGACATGTTGCATGGCCATCACAGAGCAACTCATAGCTTGTGAATTTTTTACTGTTTAAATCTATTCTCTTTGACAATAGAACATTCTAAACTGTTGTGATCATGAAATCATAGAGGTGATGTCATCCATTCCAGGTGATGGGCGGAGCCTGTATGACACAAGACGTGTGATCTCCTCTTGATGATGGGCGTGGCCTATCATACTGGGGAAGAGACACTGCCCCCAAAAGTTTATAGAAGTGATGTCATCCCCTCTTGATGATGGGCGTGGCCTATCAAAGTGGGGAGGAGTCTCTGAATCAAAAAGTTTATAAATAGACAATCTTGACAGACAGACTTCACTAACTTATTTTCCTTTTATTTCTGCAGGTTTTCCATAGTAGTATACTCTTAAGACAGGATCAGGTAAAACTATTTAAGGTAACAAGGTATCAATCTCAACCACTAATTTCCAGGTAGCATGGCTTTTTTTAGATCAGGTTTATCATCTAGGGGGTAATGTAATGGGACATGAATATATCCTTTCTCTCCTATCTGTCCATCCATTGTCTATACTGCTTATTGTTAGTACAAGGGCTGGCTGGAACCCATGTAAGCTGACATTGGTTGGGAGGTGGCATATATCCTGGACATGTTGCATAGCCATCACAAAGCAACTCATAGCTTGTGAATTCTATACTGTTAGAATCTATTCTCTTTGTTTATAGAACATTCTTAACTGTTGTGAGTATGAAATCATAGAAGTTATGTCATGCATTCCCAGATGTGTGGTGGAGCCTGTATGACACAAGACATGATCTCCTCTTGATGATGGGCGTGGCCTATCATAGTGGGGAGGAGTTTCTGCATCAAAAAGTGTATATATACACGTTCTTGACAGATCGACTTCACTAACTTCCATTCCTTTTGTTTTTGCAGGTTTTCCATGGAAATATGTACTTTATACAGTAGCAGGTAAAACCAGGTATCAACCTCAGGTAAAATTAGGTAAAGTAACAAGGTATCTACCTCAGATAAAACTAGGTAAAGTAAAAAAGATCTGGTAAAACTAGGTAAGGTAACAAGGTATCAACCTCAACCAAAATTTTCTAGGTAGCCTGGTTTCTATAAGATCAGGTTTGTTATCCTGGGGGCCATGTGAAGGGTAATAACAAACAAAGTTTCAGAATTTCATAACTTTTAAATGTATCTTTATTTTAAAGTGTAAGTATTTATTTTATATGGAAAGACGTTCAGCAGGAAATATTAGCAACCCTACCAGGGTTTACATGGAAAGTAAATATGTGCTCTGATTTTAATTTATCGTCAAGCTTCCATATATCTCCACAAGATGGGGCCAAACTTTATCAATTTGCAAAAACATGAAGAATGTCTTAGTTTAAAGGAATTGATTTATTTTCTTAACAATTATATCACACTTTGTCAGTTAGTTCCAATGTTTCACTTATTCCTTTGATGTTCTGAGTTGACTATAAAACATTATCACCAGGTTAGAAAGTATTAACGCTTATTTTGACGTCCATCTCTATTTTTTGCATGGTAATTATCAACCAAATTCTTGATTTGTCAGAAAACACAGGAAATTAGTGTAATTACATACTTTCAAATGTCTCATCAAGGAATATTAAACCAGATGTTCAAGTTCTGTAATGTTGATGTGAGATTAAATGACAGTTGGCCCTCAGTTCAGATAAATATTGGAAGTATATACATTGTGGGCATGACTAACTGGGTGAAATAGATAGTGGAAGCCGATGATGCAGATGACTCTGCACCATGGGAAACTGGGAGGGTTTGGTTTTGTTTGTGATAAGCCGAATGCTTCTGATTCTTGACAGGAACAGGTTCAACAGGCTGTGATGTCACAGTTGTCCTCAACATAGTACGTATTTCTTTTGCCAGTTGTGCTTCCTCTTTCTTCCTTTCCAGGTAAGTCCATTACTCTTATAAATCAGACCATTTAATTAGTTAATAAAGATCCACTCTGTTCTGAGCAGCTAAGTCTGTATAGGTATAGACAAGGCAAGTCTGAACCTGTTTAAATGAAACGCCGAAACTTGTATGTGTTTTGTTTGAGTAAGAGCAGAGCCCCACGTGAGAAAGAGCTGCGCTTGGTAGGGGTGTAGAAAGGAAGAAATAGCCGTGTTGTATGTATAGCATTGGACAAATATAGTCAGATTGAATTGTTAAGGTATGTGTCTGTGTGGTTTTGTATCTTTAAATCAGTCATGTTTTGGTGAGCATTCTGCGATTGTCTCAAATACGTGTTCTTATTGTTTGGCAGCCTGAGGGAGATGATAATACAAAGATGACGTGTGTTTCATTTGACAGTATAAGTTATCTTTTGATAGTCACTGACTCCCATAGTCACTGACTCCCTAAAGACGACACCCAGTGTCTTCTTTAGGGATTGTCATGTTTCTGTTGAGATTATTTTCTAATATTATCTATTACATTCTAACCATGGTAGATAGTGGCTTTTTAAACTGCAGCCAAACTACTGCAGTCAGTAATAGACTTATTTGTATGTTGCCAGGTTCGAAGTAACAAGGCTATCTTTAGTTAATGACTTCTAAAGTCATTTTGAAGTTTTCCTTTCTTAAACAGCACTGAGAATGTGGGAATGTAGTGAAAAACTGGTGACAAAAAGCCTTCAAAAATTTGCTATCAGGTCATGGGGACATTTTGATTAAATCCACAATAGATTTTACTATGATGGAACTATTCTGTGTTACAGGCACATTGCTCATGATATGAAATGTTATCACCTAAAAACCATACATCTTAAAAAGCACAAGAAAATCACAAAAAACTGAATTACTTCCCTGGAAGTGTTTCCAATCAAAATCTAAGCATCCATGGCAGAGCTGAATTGTTTTGTACTGTTTTAATTTTCTCTTGAAACTCAGTTGAATCCAGTCAAAAGGCACATCCTGAAGTCAAAGGTTATGGTCCTCTGTTTTGGACCCACCTTTAAAACAACCTTACTGTCTCCTTTAAGGCTTAATATTTAACCAAATTCCAGCCTTTATGTTAACAGGTTGTTAAGAAGTCCAGTTAACTGATTGCCAAAAAAAGGTAACAACTGCATTTTTCTAATGAAGTCAACAAAGTGTCTTGTAAGTAATTATAGGTGTTTCTTTACAGCAAGGGGGCAAACACTTCCCTGACCTAAAAAATAACACCGGAAATAGTTATAAGAATTTTCTCAATACAGACCTGCCTCCCTGATATCAACAGTTTCTTGCTTGAAATGGATAATTTCCAGATGGAACCCCCCCCGTATGATGTGGCCAGCGGCTTCCCTCCGCCTCATGAAACAGTGGAATCGGACTTTTCCCCTCCCCCCGCCTACAACACTTCCTCACCATGTCCCTCAACTCCTCCACCCTCCTATGTAGATGCAAGTAAGAAAGGATGTAGTAAATTTCTTTTCTCTTCAATATGAAAACATTAAGTTAGTCTTGACGTAAATCAGATTTTCGTTTTTAAAAAGCTGTAATGCTCATTTGCATTGCTCATTAATCAAAAGACAAGGCGTTTTTACATATAAACAGCAATTTTAGATTAAAAGTCTATTAGTACATTGTTTTTTTTTTGCTAATAGCCCAGCAGGATCCTTTTCCTGTCCTGACTCCTCCATTTGTGCCCCCCGTTGTGACCCAACCACCCCACAGCTCTGAAGTCATATACCATTCAATCACGCAAGGTATGAAGAGTTCACTGTTACATCCACACCAATAACTACTTCATACTGTCTTTCCCCATAGCTAGTTTTGAATTTCACACCAAGTGTCCCTTGTCTCCCCGTGAATGGCAGTTGGCAGCAGCAGTGGACGAACTCAAACATTAGCAGTCGTATCTCAGCCACAGGGCGTCCCCATCCAAGTGCAGTGTCTGAGAGAGATCCCTGGTTATGTCCGTTGTACACAATGCCAGCGTCTGGTCACCACTAAAATCGAACATGTGCCTGGATCGGCGGCTTGGTGTACATGTGCTCTTCTCGCACTAATGGGGTGAGAACATACACAGATGAGGATTTAATAAGCTCAACCAGCCTCAGCAGTTTAATCTTTGACTTTGTTTTGGCAGGTTGATCTGTGGGTTTTGTCTGATTCCATTAATGATGACTCGACTGCAAGACGTTCATCACTCCTGTCCACAATGCGGAGAGAAGCTGTATATTTACAAAAGATGACACAGTCAGGATTCATGAAGAAGCTGTTTTTCTTGGTCGTCTCAGTCTCCGCATATTTACATCACAATATGGTTGGAACAATCTATGTGCTGCATATAAAGAGTTTACACAATGATGTAAACAGTGAAAGCTATAGAAAAAACGTTTTGGTGACTACAGTTTGTCACTGTGGGACAATAGTGAAAATGAGATTCATCACAGCTGCTCCTTAGTATTAAATAAGTGTAAATATGACTTTTTTCTGCAGTAATATTCTATCAACAAGATGGATTTGGACGTTAGCGACCAAATATAGAAGCAAGAATGGAAGGCACTTTTATTTACTGATACTTTAATGAGAAAAACATGACACTGAATATATGGACCAACACAAGCAGCAAGAGGATGCTACACTACAAAATGCTGCTGAGTGTGAAAAATGTATGATCGATTGTAATTTTTCTCTTGTACGTTTGTAAATCATTAGCTTGAAAATTAAATTATGTTTTCTGTTTCTTTAATGAAAGGACCAAATTGTAAGTGTGTTTCCTATGAACTAAGATACAGTACATGTCCATTTCGAATGTCTTTTATTCTCAACCCAAACTGATCTTCGGACACTGTACATTGCCAGGAAAACAACTGTTGATCTTGTACACACAGTTTGGAATGGGGGGTTAATTTGGAACAAGGGGATGATCTGGTGAGCCACACTGTGTGGACTGGTTTGGGTTATGAAAACGCAAAGGAAAGAGGCATCAAGAATAAACTTTGTATGTTGGTTTGACCACTAACTGCAGAAATGATAGAGACTATGGAAGAAAAACCAAGAAGTTGGTGAAATTTAGTAATACTACTCTTACAACTGTTTACCGCAACATTGTGGATGGTCTGCCTGCGGCATGAGTTTATTGCAGCATCATGTACAATTTAGGATTCACAAGTCATGAGGAGTTGAAAAAGGAATCTGACATAGTTTCAACACCTGCCTTAAACAAATTATTTACAAATGTAGTTCTTTTGCAACAACAATGCAGACATATGGGTTTTGATAAGACGCAAATACAAGATTCAAACTCAATTATTCAAACTAAATGCCCAGCTGTAATTAATAGGTGCAAGAGTAAAAAATACACGTAGAACCTTGATTGTCGGTAGTTCAGTTTTCAAAGTTTTGGTTAATTTCATCAGTATTTTTTATTCGGAATTCAATTTTTCCTAATGCCTCCACGGATCCTCAACAGATTTGTAGGACAATGTGAATCTGTGTGTGAAAATATCACTTGGCAAACTTGTGGTTAAACGAGTTAGACTTCACTTATCTATTCTGCTACCATACTTTTGTCCAAACATTGGCAATGAAGCAAATAGACCTTATTCTGCTGAGGTGCTGATTCAGGTGACTACTTAATGAGACACCCTGCAGGAATGCTGCACAAAGTGTTTTACATTACAGATTATCGTTTATTAATCGTGCTGAAGTCTTGTTGAGAAGTTTCTTTTATTGATTAAAGAACCACATGATGTCTCTACAGAAAATCTGTGTCTTTCACAATGGGCTTTTTCATATTGTATACTTTCATGAAACAAAATTGCCTAAGTTCCCTCCACAAACCTGTGGAGGGATTTTACTGTTATTTTATCTTTAATTAAACTAATAAGTTGTTGCTTCCATTTTGACCTTGTTGAGTCCAACAGTGCTACATAAAGGGCATTTAGATATCAGTGATAAACCTGATATGAACAACAGCCAATAGCAGAAATACAGCCAGGCTCAGATAGGAAAGTTAATCAGCAACAAACAGGTGGCCATACATGGTAGATAACAAAAGAATTCACAACTCCGACACTGAAACACAGGAGTCCGTTCCTATTGCCACTCCCTCTGTGCGATCCGGTCAAATTGTTCCAGTGTCCAGTTTGTCAAGCTGTGGGTGATCCGTCATGAAGAGGCTGCTGTTTCTGGGTGTGACTACCTTCTGTCTCTTTGTCGTTATTACCGCGAATGCACAGCCTAACCGACAGGGAGACGAGACGCCGCTGGAGAAAGATGCCGTTTTACAACTGGAAAAGGGAAATTTCGACAGGGCACTAAGAAAACACAAGCAGTTGCTGGTGCATTTCTGTAAGTCACACACTCAGACACTCAGACTCCCACAGCTGGATTTTGACTCACACGTTTCGATATATATTAATCTTAATCGTGACACATTCAGGTTGGTGGGCAGCTTTAAAACCTGATAACTAGCTGAATTAGCAGCACACGTATCGGACACTTGTGCTTCCTTCTTCTGTTTGTCTGTCAGTGACTCCTCTGACGGTGGAAGGTCACCGTGTATCGGCTGCATTCGAAGAGGCTGCTGCAAAGCTCCAGGGGTCAGAGGTCAAACTAGGAGTGCTTGATGTGACAAAGGAGAAAGATTTGGCTAAAGAGCTCAATGTGACGGGCCATCCCACAATCAGACTCTACCTCTCTGGAGATAAATACAACCCTGTGTCCTGTCCCGGTATGTTCAAAAGCATATCCTGTTGAATGAATACTCACCTCATCCTTTCATTAAGAAAACAACACACCCACCAGGGCTGGTTCCAGACAGATTTGTTGTTGTTGAATATTTTGTATTTGCCTAAATGTTGAAGTTAAAGTCACGAACGTTTCTGGTTTGCGGTGAAGTTCCTCGGAGCTCGGATTCGATCTTGACCTGGCTGAAAAGGAGGGAGGGGTCAGCAGCTGACCTAGTCACCGATCTCAGCCAATCAGATGCATCAGATGAGCTGACAGTGGTTGGATTCTTTAAGGTTAATACAGTGGTTAAAGGTTCTTGACTCCTAACTGGGGAGTTGACCAACATTTAACATTTTGCATCTGTTTGAATCTGTGTGCAGAAGCTGAACCACGAGTACGTCCAGGTGTTTTATGCGGCAGCCATCGACCTTCCAGACATCCACTTTGTTGTGACTCAGGATGATGAAATCATCAGCAAATATGGTGTCACACATGATGTTGTTCTACTGCTCAGAGAGGTCCTAAACTCACAGTTTATACAAACGTGAAAGTCCCCAAGGTTGAAAAGAACCAAGGGACGAATGACAACAAGAATTTCACATTTTCCCAAAAAAATACATCATAAAGAAAAAATGTTGTTAGTATAGAATTTATTTTATCAAGAGCTGTCATTATATCAGTGATTAATTGTAAAAGACAAGATTAATGGTATTGAATTTAGGGATTTATTAAAATATACCTCTACACACGGGGATCAGGTTATATTGAACTATACTGTCTTGGTGATAGTTTGTGTCTGTGTGTACTTTGCAGTCTAAACTCATCAAGACTTACAAAATGACGCCTCAGACAGCAAAAGAGGAGCTTGTTGTCTTAATTTCTGTGTACCAAATGGACCCAGTCACTGAGTACAATGGACAGGTAGTATTGTGCAACATTGTTGAATGTGTTCTTGTGCACTGCTCTCATCCAGAAACAACCTCAAATTTCTGTAATTGGTTGAGTGTAAGAGAATTATTTAATAGTTAAATGATAATACTGCTTAATCTGATCCCATTCTTCTCTCGTGACATTGTCATGTTTACAACAGGAGTTCACTTATTTGGTAGAATTAAAAAGTAATTAATTCTAAATTCAAAATCTTTGATGTTCTGTCGATCCTGCTACAGTTTTTCTTTCTCTGTCACGCCTGTGCATAATCACAACAGCAACATTGGGGATGTTTGCTGATTTGTCTGTCATTCAAACAAGTAAAAATTCCATGTTGGTGATGAGGGTTCTTCTCTCTCCTCTTACAGACTGCCTCGCAAATCTTGAGTTCACCGGTGATGAATCATGCCCTCCTATTTGTCAACAAACGCTCTGCTGATTTTCAAGAGCTTTTCTCTGCCTTAAGCAGCGCTGGGGAGGCATTCAGGATGAAGGTATTACAACGCAAACTCCTCTCTGACCTCTGGCATTGCAGGAATTCTTTATTACACGCTTCAAATAACCTTTTACCCACGATTTAATCACACAATTAGCTTAACACCTTTCTGTCAAAAAAGTACTTTTTAATGCGTTAAAGCTAACTTGGTGTCTCTTCACATTTACCGAAGGAAATATATGGTTTTTACCATCAAATAAAATGTTTTCATGTGGTACAGATCTTGTCCCGGGCTCTCTCAGTGCTTGACACCCGTGCACGTCTCTGTGTCTGTGTTTAGATTTTGTTCGTGTTGGTGAATGTGGATGAACCCCGTAATGGCAGACTCCTGGAGTACTTCCAAGTTCGGGACTTTGAGGCTCCTCTCATTCGGCTGGTCAATCTGACAGATCATGTGACCTACCACCTGCCCTCCGACACACTGGATGTAGAAACCATTAAACACTTCTGCCAGTCCTACCTAGAAGGCACGGCTAAGGTAACTCATGCCCGTGTTTGCTGCGTAGATATGACAGAGTTGAGGCTGATTCATTTGCATGTGTGTTAAACAGCCCAAACTGCAGAGTGAGCCCATACCTGAAGCATGGGATCAACAGCCAGTGAAGGAGCTGGTGGGAATGAACCTGGAAGAAGTTGTGTTCAACCCCAACAAGACTGTTTTTGTCCTGTTCTGTGAGTGAGCACAATTTATTTTACTCTTTGTCTGACAATTTGAGCTACTTATTTGTATGAGGTCTCAGTTTCAACACAAAGACGCCCTTTGAGATACACTTTGCATAGGAAAAGAATGTCTCAGACTCAAGATTTTACTAGGAAATAAAAGGTGAAACTGGACTGGGACCTTTCTGTGTGGAGTTTGCATGTTGTCCATGTGCCTGTGTGGGTTTTCTCTGGGTACTCCGGCTTCCTCCCAACATCCAAAAACATCCATGTTAGGTTAATTGGATACTCCAAATTGTCCTTAGGGAGTGCATGTGAGTTGTTGTGTGTCTCTGTGTGACCCTGCAATGAACTGGATACCTGTCCAGGGTCTAACTTCAGATTTCATCTATCTTTAACCTGGAGTGGATTTGAAGACCTGTACACATATCACATGTAAACAAATTAAACAAACGGGAGTACACACACTGCAAAACATACGCATTGTCCTAATTACTGTGACGTCCAGTCTGTTGTGGCCGTTGCCTGTTAACGTGTTGTCTATTTCAGATCTGTCTTACAGTCAGAAGTCTCGCGATGTGTTCCTGCTGTGGGAGGAACTGGCAGAGGCCTTCAAAGAGCAGGACAACGTGGTCATAGCTAAGATTGATGCCTCAGGCAATGACATCGGCTTCTCCACTCAGGAAGCCTATCCATCACTCTGCCTGTTTCCTGCTTTGTATTCTGAGCGGGTATGGATCAAAATGAATGATGAGTTTTAAGTTTTATGTCCTAACACATGTACAATTTGAGGCCAGTTAATACTCTATAAACAGTGATAAAATGTACTCTGTGTGCTTGTCAGATGGTGGTTTACAAAGGGAAAAGAAAGTTGAAGGATCTGATGAAATTCATGGACAAAGAAATGAAGAAAGCCAAAACAGACAGAATTAAGGTAAAAATCTTAATCTGCAAGCCATCCGCTTCTGTGTACATGTGTGTCTGACAGGTGCATTTTTCTCTGATAAATATAGACTTTTTTCTTTTTTTGTCTCTAGGAGGATGAAGACAGGAAGAAGTACATTGAGGCTTTAAAAGCCGAGGAGGCAGAAAAAGATGAGAAAGGCAAAGATGAGCTTTGAAGCAGGAGCCAAAGACAGAAGTGTGTGTTTGTGTGTTTCTAACCGAGCTGTCCATAACTGTCTTGCTGATGAAATCAAGTAAAGACTTCAGTTACAAACTCTGATGGCCATTTCATGTCAGATCTTGTTATTATGCTCTCTTTATGTTTGTTTAAACAAGTTCTATACAGAAATTCAGATCAGAGATCTTGTCCACCAAACTGAACTTTTATTTACAAGCTGTCCTGCTACATGAGAATAAACTGGGGATATTGTGAGTTTAGCCAAGATGCAGAACAATGTCAAATCTCAACACAGAGGTTTTCATCCACTGTCCTATTAATTTAAAACTTAACATATCTACTGACATTGCCACCGGAGTGGATACCCCTGAATACTTTGGAATAAATTAAAAACCTGTTTTTATTTGAAACCCTTGGTCACAACTAATGTAAAAGATGTATATCAGTCTGACGTAATGATGACTAAAGATTAAATACTTATCAGGTCATGGCTTTCATTAATCAACTCAATTTTTGTCACCTTTAGTTTCAATACACACACACACACACACCACATGTGCACACACACACACTTACACTTCATTATGTTCTTATCAATAAGGATGAATGCCATTTTTTACGGACACTGACATGAAAGTATTAACAACATTTAATAAACTCGTATGGTGTTTTGGGGCCAACTACAAGTGCCCTGTGCCGTAGCTGTACTGCAACACGATCCATTCTTTTTTATGTAAAAAAAAAGTGGTTTTCCATGAGAAAAACCAGCGATTTCGAATAAACCTTATGGTTGTTCTGGCAGAAGACACAACTGATGATGTCACATGGCGTTTTTTCAGACTACGGAAAGATTTCTTTGGTGTGCTTTTTAACCTCTTTCAGTGAAAAAAGAGACCAGCATCCAAAAATAAAAACGGACAAAGTGCGCAAAGCTCGCGAACAAAAAAAGCATCTCGTCCGGTTTGCGCCTGCAGCTGTGCGCGCTGCTGGTGCTCCTGCGGCAGCCCGTGACGCGCTGTGACTTCACACCCGGGCTGCAGGAGGACGCCGCCGCTCCGCGCCGCCCTCGCAACCGCCTCGCCTCACTCTCTCTGCGGGCTCCTGCGCGGCCGAAACCCGGGGGGATGGACAGCACGGCCGCGTACGGCGCCAGGAAGGCCGGGAGCGTCGCCTTCGATCCGGTCGCCTTCCTCACGCATCCGCGCACCATCCTCAGGCTGCTGTCGTGGGTAAGCCTGCTCTGCCATAAGTGGGTTTCCATGAATGGATGGGCCTACCTGCAACCCCCCCCCCCGTTCATAACCACATCGTCTCTGTCTCTTGTCTCTGGCGTTGCTGTCTTTCCTCATTCAAATTATTTACGTATGCATTTTTGTTTTTTTTACACAACGCTGGGTATATTTGAGTTACAGTAACAGATATGGAAACCAGAAATAATTTCAGATCCTTGATCTATATTTGTCTCGAGCTCCTTTGTGTCTGGATGAAAGCTAACGCTGGATCCCTCCGTCTCCTCTTTAAGTCACCACACAGGGTTAAGCATGCATACAATGCACACCTTTTGTGTGTGTGTGTGTGTGTGTGTGTGTGTGTTTATCATAATAATGGCAACGTGATTTCATAATAGACCAAATACAATCACAAAACAGAAGACAGAGGTTAAACACCCTGACAATAAAGCTGCTCTTGGAAAACCATGGAAAACCATCAAGTTTCTATAAAATCCAAATTTAGTGCCCACACTGAATGGATGTAGGTTATAATGATTTCACTGCTCAATGTGAAAAGTAATCATCAGAAATTCACCTGATATTAAGGTAAAGATGCTCAGACTGTTTAATTAAAAATACTAAACAAATCTCTCAAAGGCCATTCATTTTTTTGTTTTTGTATTAGCGTAAGCTGTCAGTGTGTATGGTTTTTGCTGCTGGTAGGAATGACTCATTTCAATGACTCATCTCAAGTATTTTTTCCCCCTTCCTTTGGTGTCACCAAATTACAAAGTGACTGTCTATTCCTCCTCACAAGTGAGTTCAAAAGATTGTATCAAGTCTGTTCCATAAACTGTAGCTTTTGTGAATTTCCGAGCTTTGTTTCAACTGTATTAAACACACACACACACACACACAAATAGAAGCAGCACCACACAGTTAGTATTTGTTTATTATTACTAATAATTTGTTAAAGTTGTCAGAATTTTCATTCACAATGTGGTTTGTGATGTGAAATTGTTGCTATGATGCCATGTTTATTCTCAATGCTCATTTGTTTTTGCTGTTAAAGTTTATTTTTGTACCCACAATTTAAAAATATTTGAAAGGTGAAATTACTTCCGAGGTGATGTCCGTCTCCAGAGCAGAGAAAATTTGAGGAGCAGTATATCTTTCCAATTTTGTTTTGTGGTTACCTGTCTTTGCTTACTTCTTTATATAAGAAGCTGTGTCTAATATTTGTCAGACAATGACGTGCGCAGTATCCGGAAAATTGATTTAGTAAATACGCGGTGCTCTTTGGCTTTTCTCAGCAGTCTAAATATCAATATTACAATCTGAAGTTGTCTGCATGACTCAGAACGATTAACAGTCAGTGTAAAGACATGATTCTTTGTAACCTTTACGAAATTCAGTTTCTCTGATACAACTTTATTAAGCTTTCCATCATTTCTTGTCGTCCACATGAATCTGCCTTCTGCATGAATGCATGTATCTTTTGAGGAGTTTCTTAAAGAATGCAGGTGAAACGACCCGTTAAAATTGGGATATTTTCATTGCAGCTAAGTATAACTGTATCTGTGTAGCATCTGTGGCTTGTAATCTCCATGTAGACACAGTCCTTTTTGCACTGGCGTGTCTGAGGAATGAAAGGAATTCATACACCAGTGCGAACTCATTCTCTCCTGTCTGTCAGATAATCAAACACCTCGTGTGTCTCTCCACAGGTTTTCTCCATTGTGGTGTTCAGCTGCATTGTGAATGAGGGCTACATCAACATCGGTAGTGAGCGTTTACTCTGCATCTTCAACAACAACGCCGACGCCTGTAACTACGGCATTACCATTGGTGTGGCGTGTTTCCTCGGCAGCATTTGTTTCCTGATTATGGACGTTTACTTTCCTTCCATGAGCAACGTTAAGGACAGAAGACGTGCCGTGCTGCTGGACCTCGTCTTCTCTGGTACTGAGCAGTGTTGATTTCCTATTCAATACCCACCTCTTCTCCGGACATCTTAAACAGAGAAAAGATGTGGAATCCTTCTTAGCATCTAAAGAGGACAGCTACTGTCTTTAGAAATTATAAACAATCATCAAAATCATAAGTCATAAAAAAACAATAGGAGGAAAAAACACACATAGCCATCGAAGGCTTCATCATGTGTAAATTGGCAGATCAGTGACTTCAAGTTGGTGTTTTAGAAGGAACAGTCTAAGCTGTATTACCTTAGAAGAAATGTAACGGTGCCTTCTCTCCCCTTAATCCAGGTCTGGCCTGTTTCCTGTGGTTCGTTGGCTTCTGTTTTCTGGCCAATCAGTGGCAGGCAACATCCTCAGATGAGCTACCATTGGCCCAGGGCTCAGATGCTGCCAGAGCAACCATCGCGTTCTGCTTCTTCTCCATCCTCACCTGGGTCTGTACTGGTTGTTTCACACTGTCCGTTGTCATTTGTGTGCTCATCACTGTGTGAGTGTGACCAGATGTGCCCCTCGCATTTGTGTTTTCAGAGTTATCAGAGTCTGTTGGCCATGAACTCATATAAGAGCATTTCCTTCACGGAGGTTGAGCAGAGGCTGCTGCCCACAACTCCTCCTGCCCTCTGTCTAGTCTAACACTTCCACGCACTGCCTGTACCTGGCATTTTCCAGATGGGAATGTGTTTAAAAAGCAACTAAACGAGGCTTTTTCTGCTTGAATTTTAAAACTGAAATGCCAGAACTTCATGTGATTAATCATCAGCTGGTATTCATTTTCAAACCAAAGCTGCAGCAGATGCTCATCTTATTGTGAAAGGATACGAGCAAACTAAGTTGAAGGTGTGTCAAAGCTGTGCATTTTGTCATGGAAAGTTTTTTATTGGCTTTTTAAATATTATTATAATGTAGAAAATAATTCTGCTTTCTTATTTGGAAGTATGGAGATGCATGAAATACTGGCAGAAATCAAATATTTTCCATAAGGTCTTCTGTTGAGGACATTATCGGCTAAATGCAGTTTCATAATGTGATATAGTTTTCACTACTCTTTTCCTGTAAATGAAATAAATACTGATTTCCAAGTCTGAGAAATCTGCCTAAGTCCATCCATCTCCAAGTTGTTACTTTGGCTACAAGATGACCATTTTTGCTGGAGTTTGAAATAAAGAACAACTCACTATGATTAAAGGGCCCGTTTATTGTTCAGGCGTGGGTATTTTAGAATTCAGTCTTGAATATTTGCTACGACAATCTGATGTCCTTTCTGTCCGTTTAGCACCCAAGGCACTTGTTAAAAAAATGGCAGGGTTTGAAACAACTGCCCATGACTTACTTGTGCTGTGCCAAACTGAAGCGGAAGTTTCTGTGGTAGTGTGACACTCTGTTTGGTATGGACTTTGTATTTTGAATTTTGATGTTCTGTTCTAAAAGCGTTCTAATGTGTCACGCAGCGTGTGCTAGAATAGTCCATCAGCTATTAAGAAGCTATGATAACAAAGGGTTACTATAGTTTGATGGTTAGAGTGGTTTTTGATGACCACAGATCCACTGCTCATAAAGAGCAATTCTAAGTAGCTTTTAACTATAACTTGCTCATCAAGATTTTTCTCTGACTGCTGATGCTATTTACTGAGGGCTGACTACTTATAAGGAGTAAACACAACCCCCACCTTTTAACCCAAAGTTAAAATACCTTGACCTCGTCATGGCCTATTCTCCCATCAAATGTTTATAGATGTGCAGCCTTCAAGTGGCCCAAACCCGCCGGACTTCTTCTTCTTCAATGTTATAACAAAAAGTGTAGATATGTTGTTGAGTTTTTGCCAATATCTATAAGTGTGTAATTAACTGTCTCTGTGAAGAGTTAAGATAGGACCTAACTCTTCTGTGTGTGTGTGTGTGTGTGTGTGTGTGTTACTAACAGGCTGTGCTGACACTGAGTGCGCTTCGACGCTTCTTAACCGGCAGCAACACGAACTTATTCACTTGGCAACACCTGGACACAGCTCCAAGCAATGCTCTAGCTACACCGTACCCCATCCCAAATGGTGCTACCATAGTTACCACCAATCCCTATCAAGCACCACGATTCACCGAAACCCTGGACCCCCAGAAACTCATACAGCAGAGACCCATGGCTCCTGCCTTCTAGAGACTCATGGGAAGGAAAAGGAGACGTGAGCTGAACGCCTGCACGTGGCAGGCACGGACAACTTCCTGCTTTCCCGTGTGCTGGGTTTCCATCCTCTCCTGGGATTGGCAGGTTTCTGGGTCTGAGCGTCTGATCTCTGTTCACCATGGCTGAGCTTAGTTAATTGTTACTCTATATGTCAAGAATACTGTCGTCTATTGATGCACACACACAAATATATAATGATGCACACAAATTCAGCTGTCCTAACTCACGTCGGAGGTACACACTCTTACACACTCTTCACACCACGGCCGCATGTTCATATGGTGAAGTGCAGGTTAACATAGATTTAGATCAGCAATGAAGTTCCCTCTGCAGTATGAAGGGACCCGGTGGGACTGAAATGTAAAACAGTGATGCTTTGTAGCACAGTTTATCTGTTTTTGTCTTGCCTCAAATCTCACTGACCAAACACAAGCTGCCATAGAGACGCATGGTCTCTCATTGGCTGAAATTCAGCCAGCTTGACCAATAGATTGTGAGCAAAGGAAGAAGAGGCTGAACCAGCAAAGATGCTACATTTTTCTATTAGGGGTATAAAGGCAGGGATGCTTTAAATGCACTCCGGAGGCAATAGAGTGTCAGTGTGAAATATTCATGTTTGTTAATATTTTATTGTAGTATGCTGGAGTGGTAAAAATAAAATAAAAAGCTTCTCACCATAACCATGATCAAGACTCTGGGTCTACATTTGTTCATTTTGTCATTGATTTGTCAGTGTTTGTAGGCAGCTGCTGTATGTTAACTCTTTTTTTATTAGACACATTTTGAGAGGCCCTAAACTTTATCTGAATTTTAAAAGTTAATCTCTACATATACACAAGGTAGAATTAGAATTTGAGTCCAAAGAAGGTCAGACAGTAAGTGGTTTTATTCCAGCTCTGTCCAGTCTGTGTATCATTCAGTACTTCCAATATTTTGCAAGAATATCATTTTACATTATAAATACTTGCAACACCATCATCACCATTTTGCAACAGTAACCACCTCCTCATCCATCCAAAAACGGACATTCATGAATGTAGAAATTCAGCTCGAAGTTCTCAAATTCCCATCTTTTTTTTATAAAATATACTGTAAGCCTTTTCTACAAACTGTAACTGTCTGCATAAGCCCTTCAGTTCCTTCTGTCTTTCACACTCTGTTCCTAAACTGTTTGGACTAAATATCAAGAGAAGGAAGCCACTTCTGAGATCATACAGCAGAGGGCTCCCTAACTCTGCATCACACACTTCAAACTCTGAACTACCTCTACCCTGAGATTACAAAGACAGAGAAAAGGAAAGAGGAGGGGAGTGAGAAAACAGAAACATTCGCATGGATGGGAGCAGGAAAAGGCGAGGTAGAAACTACTAAAGCCTAGGTCATACTTCATGAATTTAAGTGCATGGTTCAAAGAGCAAAAGTGATTTTTCAGGGCTGTCGGGGTTGGTTGCATCCAGGAGTCGAAGTGAATCAAGGAAAATCAAGAAATATTCTGCAATCAGTGAACAATCAAGCAAACATCCTGTGGGTGTGTTAAGCGGAGTTTGTTAGGAAGAAAAAATCAGAAACTGTACTGCAGTACTGACATTAAATGTGGAGTGGTGTGTTGCTGGCAAGTTTGTTCCTTAAAAATCTATAATTTATGTAAACATCAACTGCTTTCAGCACCAGGGATAGGAGCAACTTGAACTTGAATAAGATTTTTAATTGGAATTTAATTAAGAACTTGTAGTAATTGCTTATCATTTGCCCAGTCATAAAACGAGAAGTGTCATCAAACGAAATCTCATTCTGTTGAGATTAACTGAAAAATATCTGTTGTTATGACAAAAAAAAAGCAGTCTGATGATTTTATCTTGGTCCCTTGAGGCTTTATAGACCAATGAATTAATTGTTTCAGTGAGAGAACAGCTAATTGACTACAAATTGTAATGACTTAACATGTCATTAACATGTCTTTGTTTGTGAAAACAAATTGAGTTGTTAATCTTCTGTTAAGCTTCTGTTGCAGTGAAGCTCTTTCTTGTATTCTGACCTAGGCTTGAGATGCAGCAAAAGGGGGAATTAGAGCAGCATGGGGAGAGCAAGCAAGGAAGGGTTTGCGTCTTTAAATATAGCTGGGAAGTGGTTACTGTGTCTGGGCTAAAGCTACAACAAAAGACAGAAGAAAATAAATCTTCTTCTTGTGTGCATCTTGGCGTGCAAATAGCACAGAGGAGTCTTTAAACACACACGCACTCATACGCACAGGGTTTCAAAGAGTTCTGCACACACCCGGTGAAAATCTTGGGGATTGAGAGAGTTATGGACGGGGCAGAAGACTTCCTGTTTTGGATGACAGTTCAGGATTCTTTCATGAGCAGTGCATTCGTCTCCGTCAGTGCTCTTGCAAAGTAGATCAGTCCTCCACAGAGCTTCCCTCCAGCTGATTTGGAGAGGGCCTCGCGGCATCAAATGACAGAGTTTGCCTCCTCAGCTCAACGTGGCTGTCTATTCGTCGGGTTGCCAAACTGACTGGCTCCTGCCCTGGTGGCGGGCTCAGCCGATGCCCCCTGCTCTTGCCTGAAACTGGGGATGCCGGGTGGCCGAGTTCTCCAGGGCCGGGGGAAAGGTTTCCGCCTTTGCGTGGGGAGGTGCTCGGAGGAGGTTGTGCGGAGGTGTGAACTGAACTGTTTATGCGACTCACTTCTTCATCAGCGTGGTCATACCTGGGACTGGGGTCTGAATCGATGGCGGTTCTGGAGCCACTCAGCGGCGGGAAAAGGGTGGATTCAACGCTGGTCACTCTCAAACTGAAGGGTTCCTTCGGGCTTTCAGGACCCTGTTCTGTTTCTGCTTCTGGCTTCTGGGGGGCCTGCTCAGCTACCTGTTCGTGTGCAGTGGTCTCACTGTGGCTCCGACTGTGGCTCTTGCAAACCACTCTCTGGCGGTTTGCATATTTCAGCGTGTGCACACTGGACGAGCGCTGGGGTGGCGGACTGGAAGAGGCTGCGGGCACAGTGAGGCAGGTTTCTGCCAGGTCATCAGCTGAGCCACTCTGATCCACAGAGTCACAGCGCACAGCCTCCTACAAACACAAACATAAACACGATTTATCTTAATGAAATAATGGATAAGCCAATACACTCATTACACTCATTTGTGATCATCTGGTAGCAACAATACTAGACTAAATTTTCTTATGCCATCTGTTGAGCATAGTTTCTAGTATGAGTTAATGATTTTGATTCATTTTAAGTTGAAAAAATCCTTTCATCAAGTTCATAAGTACATTCACAAACAGATTTACAGTTTTAGCTTCAGTGTATTTGTATCCATATGCTGTCATCCATTCATAGGTTCACATGCCCATCTGCTTCCAGATCAGGTTTAATTCAAATGGTGAACTGATATTTTACACTGTAAACTAAGGATTTCATCCATATGCCTTAGTTTGGTATCTTTTTCTGAATACACAAAGATAGTGCTTTTCATGACAGGAATTAGCAGCCTCACAACTATAAAAGAGCAGAAAGTGAGACCTTTTTTAAAATACACAATGGCATACCAAGATTACCTCACAGCTCAATATTTCACAGCAATTAAGGCAAGCAGCCATCAAATAGAGTTCAACAGACCATGTAGCCAATTATCTACCAAGTAGCAACGTCTTTTTCTAACAGCTTAAAACTTTAGAAACCATGCTATTGGAATTTTAAAATGTTATTATTGGCATCAGGTAAACATTTTAAAAATGTATTTTCATTAAGTATGAAAACGAGCACCCAGACTCAAAATCTGGCCTGGGTTGTGTAGTTCTCATTAGGGAACATAATGAAAAATTGCTTTAATTATTTTCATTTGTTGAGTGAGGTTGAAGTAGATTAGGAGATTTTAAAAACCTTTTCACATGCAAATCCAGTTGAAAATTCTAAAACACATAACTCCACAATTATCAAATTCTGAAGAGATGATAAAAACCCACCTGTCTCCGTAACTGTCTGCCTGCAGAGCGGAAAGACGATGGTCTCTTCACAACTGAACTATCTGGAACGTAGGAGGGACTTAGCATGTTTCTGTCTAAACTGTCCTCAGGACAGAGCCAGAGAGAGGAACGCCTACTGTCACTGTGCTTGTGGTTCAGTCTAAGTGATGGATGTCTGTCCATGCTGTGACACGATGTGAGCTTCGGTCTGTCTGCGCTCTGATCTGGATTCAGCCTGTATCCGTCCATACTGTGAGCAGAGCTGAGTCTGTGTCGGTTCATCCGATGTGCCGGGCTGAACTTATATCCGTCTATACTCTGAGCTGATCTCAGTCTATGTCTGTTTGTTCTGTGAGCAGGACTTAACCTGCATCCCTCCATGCTGTCAGCTGGACTGAGTCTGTGTAAGGAGTGGCGACTGATGTTCTGAGAGGTGCTGAGGCAGATCATCGGCCTTGAGCTGCGTCCAGACCCCAGCGAAGCGTGGCTGATGGTGGGGATAGCTCCTGGAACCTGCAGTAGAGAGCTGCCTCCACTGGAGCCCAGAGATGACATGGACCCTGTAGAAAAAGTGCAGATTTTAACACACACAAACACAAAAGAAATCAATATTGAATATTTTTGCCAGAAAGCAGAAAAATTGAGAAAATGTCAATAATGGTTATTCAACTTATGACCATTTAATACAATTTAAATTCAAACTTCAACATTCAGTCTATAATGAATTAACTGTCTTGAAATACCCAGAATTGTTCAATGTATTACAAGGAAAACAAGAAGATTAAGCAAAGCTCCAGGTGAATCTCTCAGGTCTTGTCTTAAGTCTTGGCTAGATTTGTTGCTGTTTCTGAAGGACTTTGCTGTTCATCTGCCAAAGGAATTATTTAAGGCTTCTTTCTGTGTCTTGCACTTATCCAGTGTCTTCTTTAATTCTTTAAGGACACACTGCACACCATGCTGAGACATGCCTCCCTATTGGTGCAAAATGAAAACCCTCCTATTTAAGGGACCTTTTTCTTTTGCAATCATGGAAAAAACTCTTTCTTAAGAAACAAAGTTAAACACATTTTTTAATCTCTTTAAATATAAGCCTCTGTACTTGGAGCGATAACGTATAACTGTGCACCACAGACTGCAAAGTCTGCAAATGGAATACTTGGTTCTTAAGATAAAAATATTTTACTGATAGCAGTGTATCAATACAAAAAATAAGCAATGACTTTTGGTTTTTCTCTTACTTGGATTTTCACCCCAAATAAATAGGAAATTAACCAACAATCTTTTTTTATTGATAGCACAATTCTCAACCTTATGAGCTCCAGAGACATGTTATCAGTTCGGGAACACCTAAGAATAAAGTGGATGTTGTACCTCCTGAGTTATCAAGGTTACATTTTCTCAGTACTTGTGCAAGCACTTTAAAGCAGTGAGCTAACTTCCTTAGTCAGCATTAATATGTACAAACACTTCTATTATGATCGCCCTAGAGCATTTGGTTGGCAGAACCTGTACATTTCCATATTTAAGACTTTTTTTGTGTAATGTTTGATGAATTACAATTGCATGTTCATGGAGAGCACATTTTTACACAAGTGCAAAACTGAATCCATAGTTTTAGATTTATTTTTAAATCATTGAACAAGTTATGAAAGTCAGTTTGCATTTTTTATGTTTTGGGTTACATTGCTTTTTAAGTTATTTTTTTGAGAATCAGACAAGATGTTTTTTATTTCAAGACGTGGTATTAATCAGTATTCAGGGTAAGATCCTAATTGGTTTTTATTCAGGTTAGTTTATTCATTTGTTGTCATTGGAAAATATGGAAAATACTTTAATGATCAGTTTGTAATACATAAAGTTGTTCATTCATACGCTGTGAATGATTAATACTTACTCTATAGATGTGAGTGTTGTTTTTCTGTGTCTTTGTCTCTGAATATCATATTCAAAATACTTTTTTTAAATCTGGAAGCTTCAGTTTAACACTAGAGGATGTAAAATGAAAATTAAAGCAGTAACAAGATCATTGATAGGTGAAGGAAAAATCCTAAAATAGTGAGTTTGAGGATATCCTTTATGAACCTTTGTGACATCTAAACTGTTATCTAAGCTCTTTAGAGAATCAGAAACTATCATTTAGTTTAGTTTAGTTAAACAGCTACATTACCTGTGTAGCCACAAAGCATCTCGTGGCCGACGGGAGTGTATGTGGAGCTTTTGAGTGGCTGAACGTAGCAGTCGCTGGAAAGAGACGGCATGCGTCCCATGCTCAGCAGGTTGCCATGGGAACACTCCTCATCTTCGAATTGCACCTGCCACATGAAACCATCACTGCCGTCACTGTCACCTCCGTGCAATCCCTGTGCAGATATCCGAAGCATTTCATGTTCTTACCTGGGCAGGTGTGCTGGGCTCCAGCTCTCTACCCACAGATGCAGTGCTCAGGCGCCGGGCGGCCTCCTCCCTCGCCTTCATCTCCTCCCTCTCCTTCATCTCCTCCCTCTCTTTCCTCTCCTCCATTTCCTCCAGCGCCGCTTCCTTGTTGCTCTCCTCCAGGTGCTTCATCAGGACAGCAACGACCACGTTGACCAGCACGAACTGCGCCGTCAGGACGAACGTGACGAAGTAAACGGGCGAGATCAGGGGCAGGTAGTTGAGACAGTGGCGGTCACTTGGACGACACTCGCGTAGTGTGTCCTGGCCATCAAAAGCAGAAGCAGAGGAAAGGGGATAATGGAGCAATTATAAAATGAATTAATTTAGGTTTATCTTTTAATGTATTTGTACTTTCTTTTCTTTCCAAAAGGGGGAGATGTTGATCTGAGTGTAGACTGGGACCTTGAGCTTGTCACAGAGGAACAATACACCCTCTTACGTCTCGCAGACTGTCATAAAAACAGTTATCCGCTCTCTGCCTAATGGTGTTGCTGCCTCATATGCGATGCTATGAGACACGCCCCGTGTGCACGGGCACAAGCATGCTCCCTGTGGTCTAACCTTCTTTTTTTAAAGTTCTAAGGGGAAGAGAAACAGGGCAAACCTTCATTATCCCGTTCCAGTTGTCCCCGGTAGATACCCTGAAGAGTGTGAGGAAAGCCATGCCAAAGTTGTCAAAGGTAGCGTGGCGGCTAAGACCCTCACATGGGTTCTCATCTGAACACTCTAAAAGAAAATGAAAGGAGCGTTAAAGGTAGAAAGTGTGACGGGGGAAGGACAGAATGGAGGGGAAAGAGAGCTGCTTGTAGATTAAAGCACTGACTGACATAATTAACATGTGCAAGTCAACAAAATTTATTCTTGTTATGCAATCCACAAATATCTCACCAGTGTCAGCTGAGGCACACACACACACACATTCCTGTGTCAGCACTGTTTTTTTTACACGTGCACGCGCTCTCGCACATGCATGCGCATGCGTGCACACACACACACACTAACCCAGTTTTCCAAAGAGCTCAACTCCCAGAGCTGCATAGATGAAGAACAGCAACATGAAGAGCAGACCCAGATTCCCCACCTATAGACAGACACATCACACACATACACACAGATATATACAGCATATGATACACAGAGAAATACACAGGAACAGCATACATTGAGAGGGACACAAACATGCAAACAGATTGAAAGAGCCCATAGACAGAGACCGCTACGCCTTACTGCACTGATGTTTGTACTTCTTAAAAACTAACAGGAGCCATCAAAATACCTGAAGTGGAATAAGATTTTTAGTATGAGAAACATAAGTGCACCTTCATTAGCATGAATCCAGCCCTGATGAATTTCAAACATGCTTTTTTATTTTAATCACAACACCATTCATCCTTGTTTCGTCTTGACTCATAGTAGGTGGTATGGAGGTGTCTAATCAGTTGATGGATAAAGCTACTGATGGGAAAAAGATAAAAGCCCTCGGACACCACAGCTCAGAACCGGGTTTGATCCCTTGCAGCAAGAAGCCACTTCAAAGGCAACTTTGAGCGTGGGCAATGAGTGAAGAAGGATCACAGATACTGATGTGTTTGAATACCTGCACAGATGAATATGGGATAAAGGAGGGACTATTTGAAGCTTACCTGGGTTTAACTGTAAATATGGACTATACGATAACGTAGATTATTGTCTATATTTGTCTGTCTCCTTTCCTTTACTTCTTGTAGGCGTTGTAAGGTGTCCAGATCTCCCTGCTCTGCATTTGCAGACTTAAATAATGTAGATCTTAAACACAAATTCTATTCACACACACCGAGGTTCTCCTTCTTTGTATACTCTCGAGTAAGATGCATCATTTTTCTTTGACCATTTGAACAGGTAGACATTTCTGGTCAGGAACAGCTGGCCAACTTGTCCAAACTAGTAAATAAATCAATACTAATCAAAAGCAGTAATAACTGTTATCTGGGGTTTTCTTTTTCTGCTGTGAAAAACTGAGGATGACATAAGATCACTATTTAATCCAAGTCACGCATCAAGTCCGATCAGCTATGCATGAAAGTGTAGGATTTTTTTTTTTTATTACTCAACATAAATATATCAAAATGATCACATTATCACAAAAAAGCTCACAATGCAAACGCATAAAAATACCAGCTTAAATCTTCCAGATAAAAATCATCCAACATCAAATATTGACAAGTCCTGAAGATAATTTATTATCAGTCAGTCTTTGCAATGATAGTCGGCTGCAGGAGAGTGTCCTATTTAATGAATAAGGCTGTGCTGAAGTCTGATCATCAAAAAACACATGTAAAAGGAAAAAAAAATTAAATTAAGGAAGTTTCTGAAGACTTCTGAAAAAGTTCATTGTTGGGAGAGACCATATATATATTTTTTTTACTCCAGTCATCTTAAATTATGACCACTTTACTACAAAGGTCATTTCACAGACAAAATTTTGATTCGCTATAAGGTCATGAGGGAACCCACAACACACTAACAGCCTGTTTAACATTTGCTTATAGTGCTGTTAATAAATTAACAATCAAGACTAATTTTAAGTTTGAATGGTCGTGGTAGTACCATTATTTTGACATGCAGCTTCTGAGCCAGGGTGGCTTAACATAGCCGATGGAACAATAGTCTCACTATATCATTTAGACTGAAAAGGAAAAACCAGAATGTCTGTCTGTGAAATTAATCTGTAGAGCAAGACAAAAACATCAAGCTCACAAGTTATTGTTCTAAAGAATTGTCTATATTTGTTTTAGCTTTGCATGTTAAAGAATCATGTTTGTGGAAAGAGCAGGCTTTAATTTCTCAGAACAGGGCCTGATATTGCTCCACTAGGAGGTCCTGGCACATTCTGAAACTATAGGCTTCTATACTTTCACAATATATTTCATTGGATCATTTTCCCCAGTGAATAAATGGGGTTTATAAGCTTTGTCGCATTTGCTTAGTTTGAATTATTTGTCTCCTTTTGAGACTGATGTGAATTTCTTTTTATATCTAAACTGGATTATTTATGCCCAAAAACATTTAGGAATGTAGAGCGTACCTAGACTTTTAAGCACTACTCTAAGTCGTTTTTTTAAGACAATCCATTTGTCAGTTGTGGGGGTATTTAAATCAAAACTGAAAATACACATTAGGAGCTAATGTTGTAACAGAAATTTTCCAGAAGCAATTTTGGTATAAATGCTGATGTTTTATATAAGCAACAACATTGTAGGTTTCCATAAAGGGCTCCTGGAGAAAAAAGAAACTGTCTTTCTGAAGTGCTGACCTTTTCCACATGTCATCTGGAAACACGCTGTTCTGCTGCAATCACATAAGTGCAATTGTTTGTACCCAGTGACTCGTTTTGTTGTGTGTAACTTGTAGCATTGTGAAAAAACACTCCTGCTTTGATAACTTGACAGCATCTTACACACCAGCCTCAAAGGAGAATAAAGTGCTTTGTGGTGTCCTGGTATGTATGATAAGCTTTTATGCTGGCTCATATTTTATTTTCTCACAGATACCTGGTCCCCAAACAGTCACAACAAAGCAGCAATGAATTTATGTACCACAAATGCACGATCCAACTGATTTAACAATATCATGGGCCAAATTAGGGGTTAAAAATCAGCCTTTATCCACATGTGAGGAATTCCTAATTCTTCTCAAGTGATTATTTTGTGTAGCAAGTTTAACAACAGTTTTTAGGAATTAGTAGTGTCAGTAAATCACATTGGAGGCTGGTACTGTGCACCAGGCCACATCACTGTTAAATAAACAAGAAGTCTGAATTTCATCAACTCTGGACACCAGGCCAGACGTTAAAGAGGCACTTTTTATTTCACAGCAGTAGGGCCGCTTGTTACCTGAGGCAAAGCTTGCATCACTGTGTCCAGCAGAGCTCTCATCCCTGTGGCCATCTTCAGAAGTTTCAGCACTGAAACGTTGCATTGTGTCAGCTTTTACCAGCCAGGTACAGTCACTGCATTTTCTGTTTGGGTGGCTGCACATACCTCGCGTTATCCTCAGGACCCTCATGATGCGTATGATGGTGGGGTTGATGGGCAAGGAAGCACTCAAGTCTATTTCCTCCAGTGTGATTCCCATGATAGACAGCAACACAATGGCAAGGTCCAGCTGGTTCCATCTTTGCACAAAGATAAAAACTGTTTCAGTTTCCTAAAGAGTGAAGTTGCATGATTGTGAGAGGACCTTGTGTTTATTTGAGAGCGCGACTACCTTTCTTTGAAAAACCGGCGCAAGCCGAAAGCGATGAGTTTCAAAATGGCCTCGATGACAAAAACCAGAGTGAAGACGTAATTGCAATACTTTAGAATCTCCACCAGGAACTGCAGGACACAGAAGAAAAAAAACCTTAAAAACTCCGCTGTGGTCACACTGAACCTCCATATAACACCTCATTACTATGGTTCTAGGACAGGTGGTAGAAGGAGTTGCCATGGTTACCTGGGGCTGGTTGTAGTGCTCCATGCTCATGGTGAGGAGGTTTGTGAAGATGATGATGGTGATGAAAAGATCCAGGTAATGGCTGGTGCACACAGTGTGTATGGATCGGCGTAAAGGGGAGTAGTCAGCATAATACGGCTTCTCCAGGGCCCCTGGGTCACACACACACACACACACATGGTCATTAAAATGTTTCCGTAAGAAAAATATGATATGGGCTATGAAGTCACTGATAAAGAGTGTGCCAAGTGGCACTCTGCTGAGCATGTGTGTGTGTAAAGACTGAAAGTGCCACCTCAGGATTTCAACCCTATTCATCACACACACACACTCTCCCTGTGGCACCTCAAGGTGTCTTTGGGCAGAAACCCTCGCTGTCTGCTGCCAGACGTTAACTAAGAGGAAAGCACTACTGGAGATTAGATTGCAGACAGAGAGACGACAGAGTGAGACAAAAATGTGACACTTAGAAAAAGTTAGAGAAACCAGTGTGCTGTCAATGAACTTGCGCTCAAAATGATGTGTGAAAATTGTCTGTGAGCACATGACTGAGTGTAATACTGCATGTAGACCATGTGGAAAAAGCTATGTGGAAACACCTACCTAAGTTCAATTGAAAAGAAATCATTAAAGTCCAGTGTTTTGTGAGTTGTGAAAGCATCTATACCCTCATCTCACCTTCTCCTTCCAAGAAAGCAGGATAAACATCCAGGGTGGGGTTTTTCTCATTTGGGTTACTCAGTTAGGTAAAGCAGCAATGTGACAAAGGGGGTAGTGACAAATAAGGGACTGATAGTTTTTATCCCATTTCTGGATAAAAATAGAAACCTCTTCAAACCATTCTTCACCTGTCAAAATACAGGTATGAACACTCAGCTATATTTCTGCCAGTGGATCAACAACAGCTCCTCAGTAGAGGAGGAAATGCTTCTCCTATTTCTCAGAGGGAAGAGAAAGAATTCTGATGAAAATTGAGATTAGGTTTCTTTTCATTCTCTGTGCTTTCACTCAGGCTGTCGGCTGATGTCATTAAGCAGGTAATTAAACAGTGAGATTAACCACGGGAAGCCTAAAACATCACAATCTGCTTTTTCTCCGCTGAGCAAATAATAAAACTGATTGCATGATAATTGTTCATTTTCTTTTGTCGGGGGATTTTCTGTAGCAGTGTGCAAATATAGATCTCAATTTTTGGCCAATGACAATTAATGATTAAATATTGCACTGTGGGGAAAATATCAAACAGAAACTCTCTTGTTTTCTTTTACACCTTAAAACTGAAATCCCTCTGTGATTATCTAATCTATCCGTTGATTTGTCATGTTGACTTTTTAAAAACCCTTTTACAGAGATGTTGCTGATGCGTAGGCCGGATGATAGTGGGGTTGAGTCTGTGAGTCATAATAGTGAAACAAGCCTATTGCATTAAACATAACTTTGTGATCTGATTGACCATTCATTCGATTTTATCATGCTGTGTTGTTTGGTCTACCACCTTGTTTACAGTTGTCACCAACTTCTACTGAAGATTACCATACCCATACACCTCACTGAAACTTTAATGCTGTGACATAAAATATTCAAAACATAACTTCAGAGCAGCAGTTTTAACATAAGAATGCCTACATGAATACAGCCAGGCTTTTTTTCAAATGGGTTTCTGTAACTGGTTGAAAGAACCTGACAACATCTCTTGAAGCATCAAGGCAGATGATGGCCCCCAACAATATTTTTCCCTTTTTTTCCTCTCAGTTTGTTTTTCAGTGATCAGGTTTCCAATTTTGTTACGCATACTATCTGTATGTGTTTGCATAATTTTAGCTGATAATCTATGACAGGGGACGGAGCACCACGGCAGTCAGAGTTCTGCCTTAGACATCAGAGAAGAGACGGGAACAATTTTAAAAAATGGTTTTGATTGTATAGCTAACCAGTGCCAGTAGACAAAAGGTAAAGAGAAAAGAAAAGAGCCACATATACAGCACACAGCCCCCTTCCCATCATCTCACTTCTCCTCCTTTTCTCCAGCCGCTTCTGCCGTTTCTCCTCCCTGAGTCGGGCCTCCTCCTCCTCCTGCTGCTGGCGACATTTGTGAAAGTTTTCCACCACCACTCCCACAAACATGTTCAGCACAAAGAAGCTGACGATGAGGAGGAAGGAGATGAAGAACAGCAGCATCCAGGGGTTGTGGTTTCTTATTGGCTGCAGCAGAAGACAGAGTGAGAAGAAAGGAGGGGGATGGCATTGGGAATAGATAGGTAGAATATAAGGACAAAATACCGATGAAAGTGAAGGAAGGGTGGAATGAAGAAAAGGGGAGAGCATAAACAAGGAGACAACGTAAGTCCTGAGTCAGCAGTGGCACTGCCAGCACTATCAACTCTCTTCTATTTATACATCTGCCTCTTTTCCTTCCTCACAGCTCCTCACATCTCATCTGAAATATTTCTCCCGTCTCTTTCAAACAAATAAGATCAAAGGTCCCTGACAGTGGCATAAAACATAGTAAAAAAAACAGTCAAATATAACATTGGCTGTCTGGATGATTTGCATGCTTTCTTTCTGCACCACAGTGTGTTTGTCTACGTTCTCTCACCTGCTGGTCAACTCCAACAGCATCCAGGCCATCATACATGATGCTAACCCAACCATCTTTACAGGACAGCACAAAGAGCGACATCAGCGCCTGGAAGCGGGACGTGCAGATCAGTAAATCGTCCTGTCACACAGTTTGCAAGAGCGAGTGTCAAAGAAGAGGTGTGGATGGGTGACAAACCTGTCCCAGGTTGTCAAAGTTGTATTTCCTTCTGACCCAGCGGTAGCCCGCCTGCAGACACTCGGTTTTATTGGTGACGTTAGTGACATTGAGCCCATCACAGTAGAAGAACTTCCCTTTGAACAGCTGCAAACACAGACAGGTCAATTCCCGGATTCAAACACAACACTGTAACCTCCAGATAATGTCAACAGAGCTTCATGAGACACAGTTCTATGTTGAAATATAACAAATGACTCAGAAATTAAAGAAAAAATTAAAATAAATGTAAGGAAGTGAATAGATGTCAGAATGTACCAGCTTTGACTGCAGAAACATCACTTAAATGCCTGCTTCATATCTTATGGTAACCACTTTCTCCCAAAGCTCAATTTATTATTTTGCATTAAATGAGGTAGTACAACACTGATGCCTCATCATTTCGATCATGTAAACAATTTCTCTCAAAAAGATCTTTCATTGTTTATCTTTTGATTTGGGGCAGTTAACCCATTTAGTACAGGCTACAGTCCATGTTTTTTTCAGTGTAGCATTTAGTTTTAAATGTTTAAAAAGTGAACATTTTATCAGTATTAGTGACAAACAGTTAAAATGTAATTACTTAATTATCTTAAATCCAAAATGACATCTGATTAAAGAATACCTTCTTACTAAAATTCCTCCGTAGAGTCATTGTTTTTTTAAATTACTTCTAGAAACTATGTTACATAATCAGCTGATTTGCATTTCCACTTTCATTACCTGCAGCTTTTCTGTGCCTTGCCTTATTTATCTAAAACCTTTGGGATCATTGTCTTTCTCACAGCCAAAAAACACAAAATGCTTTAGATGTTTGTTGAAAATGTGGGGTTTTGATAACATCGAGAGATAAAATTATCTTTAACTAACAGAGGAGGAACGGGGAGTACACAGTGTGAATGTTCACCTGCACTCCAAGAATTCCAAACACAATGAAAAAAGCACAGCAGATGAGAACAATATTCCCAATTGGTCTGAGAGATGTGATCAGGGTTTCTACCACCAGTTTCAGTCCTGGAGCCCGACTTATCACCCTGCAACACATAGCAAAGTGAAATCTCTCCTCCAGAATATCAATGGAGTAAACAAGCATTCACAGCAGGAGATGTCCTGTCCTCCTACCTGAGCGGTCGCAGTGTACGGAGCAGACGGAGTACTCGTAAGATGCCTAAGATTCGATTACCACCTGCTGATGCGATGGAGACCAGGATGTCCACCATTGACACAAACACCAACAAGCCGTCTAAGACGTTCCAGCTGCTCTGCAGGTACACACCGTTTCCAAAGTACAGACCCATAGCTACCACCTTATGACACACACATAGATCCAGCAAGGCATTAAATGACAAATGACATGAGGTGCAAATTGAGACAAAAAGCTTTTTTGATCTCCAACCAAGAGGAAAATTGCCTCTTCATAAGTGAGCCAAGAAAATGACTTTTGAGTGAAGTGCTTGAATTGTTATGTACTGTTATGGTTACCTTGATCATCATCTCGCCCACGAAGATAACAGTGAAGATGTAATTGGACACGCTGAGAAACACTCGCTCCTGTCATACATACACACATATACACACACGCGTTAAACAATTAAAAAGGTTAACTGCTGCAGTGTTTTTTTTTGTCATGATTGTCTGCTGCAAAATGCAATTTTTTCAGCCGGAAAAAGAAAGAATAAAAACAAACAACAACAAAAAAACATTAAATAACAAAAATATGTCACCCTAATCTTCTACCCTTGTGTGGATGTGTTGGATCTATTGCTCTCATTTCTCAACTTAATACATTTCAAGACATTCACAAAGCATGACATATTTACTTATCTTTCTCCTTTACTTCTGGTGTATGGCTTTTTATGTATGACATACACTGTACAGTAAAGTCCAAAAAGAGAGCTATCTCAGAACTGCTGAAAACATGTGATTTGTCCTTCAGAATTCTTTTACCTGAATGAAACAAAATTGCAGTTCTCCCCAATGACTGCTTTGATATGCTTCAATCAAAAAGGTGCATTTGAACACTCCAAAAGATTGTCAATGTCTTTTCCGAAACCCTTTTCTTTCACCCTGTTGGAAAACATTAAATAACACCAGGAAACTGCAGTGCTCAAAGAATTCTACCACACTTTTTCTGTGAAACCACTCTGAAAAAATGCTTTACCCAATGCGTTCTTACTGTGCTGTGCCATGCATGATAAATCAAAGAGGACATGGCCGTGAAAATATGGCTTCATTATCAGGGCTGGTAAATTAATAGAAGGATGGGAAAGCACGAAACACAATCAACTGTTATTCATGTTTACAATTGTGCTCAAACTCACCTTCCCTACCTTGTATTTATCTGCATGAATCCCAATTAGAATTGTGTGACTCTGTGGTAATAATTGAATCTCATTCAAATGCTGCTGTCAAAGCACTGTGGGCTTTATCTCTTTTCCTTCCTGCTAAAGAACAGTGCAGCATTATAACACAAAAGGTCTTCTGAAAGGAGGCACTGAAGCTTTTGTCATTTGCATGTAGAGAATTGAACCGCTCACAGCGCGGCTGCCACATGAGGTAAGTGTCATTTTGACTGCAAGAACTTTCCCCGGGGTTCTGAAACTTTTACAAGTCTCCAAAACAGCCCCAAAACGGAAGATAGCAGGTTTAAGATTCATACTGAAAGTGCTTTGCATGCATCAATGTTGCTTTTCTAACATTCAATCTGTAATAAAAATGTTATTTTTTCTTAGTATTAGAAATGTTATGTGGAAAGCACAAATAAGCACTCTAGAAGGGTGCCATGTTACTGATTTGTGGCGCCACCACTCAAATAGGATGCTGAGAATAAATGTTATGTAAGAATGATATTTAGAACTGTACAGGATCGTGACCTGAGGACACATCGACAACCTCCATGGAAATCAGTCTTAATAATTCCTTGCAAAAGTAAGTGAAATAAATTCTGAACGTTTTGAAAATGTATAAACCAAACAAAGACAGCACCCAAAATGGAGAGCTTGCTTGTAATCCATTGCATCTGAATAATCGGATGGCCAACCAGAACTAGTTAAAACGGACATTTTTAGATGCAAAGTGCCACGTAAGTAACATATAATTTGGCACAGTGCAAACATGCAAGCAATCATACAAAACTAAGATAGCAGTTGAAAAAAAATATGCAAAACATCACTTTAACTGTGAAGTTGCTTTAGGATGTTATGAAAAAACACAATATTGTCTGTATGTGTGAGTCTGTGTGTGTGTGTATGTGTGTGTGTGTGTGTGCTACCATGCTCTTGGGGTGTATGTCAGGCCTCTCAAGTGCGATGGTGATGCAGTTTAGAAAAATGAAAAGCAAGACAGTATGATCAAACATCTTGTGACTGATGATCCTCTGACACCATAGCCTAAACCTGAAAACAGACACAAAGAGAAGCAGTAGGCATCATCAGCTATACCTCAATTTTTCAAAGAAATGACAAAACCTGCAACCCTGTCACAGTAATTGACCACACAAAGTGAATGTTTCCACTTGGCCTGGTTTAATTGATAAAAGTGAGAACTGCATGGCCAAGCCTTCCCCGTAAGCTTCACACTTTAACTGCAAACATTCACACATGGTTTAAACTATCTAAAGCCACTCAGGAGAGTATCAGGGGCTGTCAGTGTGTCTGGACTGTGTGTATTTACTGGCTGTGTGGAGCAAACAGATAGAGGGACCACTCTTCATGCTCCAGGCACCACCGAGGCTCATAGGGCTCAAGAATCTTCTTCACCTTCTTACATAAACTCTGCAGGAAAAAAAGAACAGTTATACACTTAAATACACTTAAATACACTTAAATACACCTAAATACACTTAAATACACAATAATATGACATTTCCATAATGATGAAACGCTAATAAATCAAATTCATAAGTAGGTCACCTAATTTTTTTCTGGTACATGGATAAAAAAAAATCCAACACCGCTCAGGATACAATCCCAATGTTTTAACTAGACGTGATTTGGATCTTGTTGACTGAACATTTTTACTGTTACCTTTACTGTTGGTATCTGAGCCTTTTTCAGATAATTAGCAGCACCATTTGACCTGTTGCACTCAGCAATTAATGTGTTCTATCCAAACATATGAGTATATTTAGCATATACCGTATATATGTTTATCTTCTTAATCTACAGTACCATCAGCTTAGTTTTATTCACCTCCTCGGGCTCTTCCTCTTCTTCATCGCTGTGGTAGTATGATGTCAGGGGCACCTCGTCATAGCCGTGGTCAGGGATGTGAAAGGAAGTGCCGTTGCAGTCGGGGGAGAGGAGCAAGGGCACCTGCAGGTAGTCAGGCTGGTCCAGCGATTGCTCTCTGCTGCTAAGATTGGAGAATGTGTGCGTGTCCGACAGCAGTGACTCCATCTCTCCTGACTGGCTCCGTCTGTGGAGGCTGGGGGCTCGGCTCATACTGGTCCAGCTAGAGCGACGGCTCTCTGGACCACTCTCCCGCAGTGACTGGGAACATAGTGAAGCCTGGTTGAAATTCTGATTGGCCTTTTGAGTGCAATTCAAATAATTCTGATTCATAGAAGATCAAACCACTCTCGTGAGACATTAGCTTCTTGAAGAGTTCCAGACCAATATGTGGGCTGTCATTTCACATGCACCTCATGCTACCAACTTGGACATAAAAACAGCAAAGTTGAAACCAGTTGACGGAAAGTCTGGGAAGGTCTGCTAAGACAGGTGGGTTGGCTTAATTTAGCATGTGCCAAACCTTGTTCTTCATCTAAAACTTTTCCCTTTCTGGCTTCTAGAAACTGTCAACTGTAAGTGTTTATGTGAACTGTCTCTTCTCAGTTATTCCACATGCGAATCAAAGTGCCGCTTTTCGAATCAGAAATGAAATTTTTACTCTAGTTTGCTTTTCAGCAAGATACATCTGCTTAAATGTTCCCATTACTTCTTCTCTGCCTGCCAGCAGCGATGGTTTTTATCCTCAGTTCTCAGAGAATAACAGCATAGTCAAAACCACTTCCAGAAGCAGCAGGTGGTGCCTTATATGGCTGCCCATGTGACACATTCTTGGGACTCAATTGAGATTAAACACAGTGATATTACACTCACCAGTCACGGTGAAGAGAAAGATTTTAGTAGATTCAGAAAATGTTCTGCATCTAATTTTACACATCTGTGACAAGTGGTCGGTGTTGAGAGAAAAAAGCTTTATCGGGAGATAATCTGAATTAGATACAGTACAGAATATGTGAGTGTCTACAGTTGGACGTTTGGAAAGAAAAGTGAACAAATATGAAAAACGGGCATTGCTGACTGTCGACATAATCCAAAATCCCGATTCTCTTATGACTTTATTAGCAGTTTCTTTCAGAAACACACTGTTTGGCACAGAAGAAATGTTTAACCTATTTGGGCATCTTAAACTGACTAAACAAGACATAAAACTGTGATGGCTTTATGTTAATGCCTGCTTATTTACAAGTTTAAAAAATGTGTGGTTCTTGGACTGCATTTTTATACACAACGTCTTTCTGAATTTGTGACAACTGAGAAGACTAAACAGAAAGTCTTATCAGTATACATTAGCACTGTTTCAAGAAATAACTTAAATATGTAGCCTTGACTTTCTACCCATATTTTTACAGGTAATCTCATTTAGATAAACTGTCCCATTCAAAGAAGGGCCTCACGGGTCAGACTTGCAAGGCATGTTCTTTTACATAAGACCAGCCAATATGTACCTTCTTTTTTCCAACTAGGCCTTTTTAAATATTTGATTGAAGCTCTCTGATAAGGGAAAAGACATATTCACATTCAGATCTGAGACCCAAAGATAAAGACCAGGATGCATCCTTCTTCCATTTGATTCAGAATGGGCAGAACTCTTGTGCCGGAGCAGTTCTTGTGTACAAAACAAAAGAAGGGGAATTCAATACGTGTCACTGCTAAAACCCCACGTAGAAAACAAACCAGAAAGAAGATTCTGTCCATTTTTAGCAAAGAAGGTCCATCAAATAACCTAAAGTGACGTCAAATAGGACGAGCACTTCCCTCAGATGTAAGCCATGGCTACCAATACACAAAGGGCTACATGTCTCAACCGATCACCAGCTGGTGGTAGAAATGTTCCAGCAACAAGCCTCATCAGAGGCAGACTAACAGTCCAAACAATGCTGGTGCCAACACATTTGGCTTTGCAAATGTTTTGTCAGGATGAAGACGCACTGAACTTATTATTAGTCATTTACAATCCAAATAACTGGGTCGTAGGAAAACACCAAATGTAAACTAAGAAAACTCAGCATGTTATTTCAACTCAAGTCTCTCAAATGTTTTTTCTCATTGAAATAATTCATCTGTGTCTAAATACTGTCCACTTTTGATCTATATCATTCTATTTCTGAACTAATCAGCAGTCAACATAGTCTGTTTTTTGTCATCCTAATAACCATATCTATCTGTTTACCTGTGAAAATCAAATTCATTACACACAATTAAAGTGCTACTAAGAGCATAGAGCTTAATAGTAATCATATTAAAGCACGATGCACTCAAAACTCACCAGCGACTGCTGCTCAAAGCTGTTCTCTGTGGAGGCCCCACTTGTCCGGCGTGATTGGCTGGAGATTATGGTGGGTGTGGCGGCAGTGTGCGTGATGACCGGCAGTGGCGGCGGAGGTGGGGGGGGCCTAGAAGCCTTTGGGTTAAGGAGACCATTGGGGCTGAGCATCATGGCTTGGAGCTTGAGCTCTATACATGTAGAACAATTAATGTCATAAGAGAGTACCTGTTTATCACAGTTTACAAAATGACAATATTACTTTAGCTATTCTGGGTCTGGTTTGTGATGAGCTGTCAGTTCATGAGCAAAATGTAACACCCTTTTCATGGGACATTTTCAATTCTATTAAACGGTACAAAAGGGAGAAATGGCTGTCCACTTATCCAGGCTGGATTAATTTCTCTGACATGGAGTAAATATGTATTCATTTCGTATTATTTCTATGGTTTTTAGTGGCCTTGTAACAATTATACTTTAATAAGACATTTAAGCTGATTATTGCTTAACCATCCAATTTTTAAGTATTTCTGTCTAGCTATTTGATATAACCACTATACTGTATATTGTCTCCAAATGGTAAAACACTGAAGCATGTGGCTACACGTAATACCATAATAATACAAACTAACCACAGACGCAAGTTAGGAAAAAATTTGATAAATATTAAAACCCGTAAAGAGTAAAAATTTGACAATCACTTTATCCATCTATCCAACGTGCTTTATTGCAGTAAAAGGCTGAGCAAGGGAAGTGGTCATCAAACTCTACCATACCGTGTGTATTGTAATAATGGACACAACACTGAGTGTACACAACACTTTTGGTGGAAATATCAGGGCACTGTAAAAAGTTTTCCCAGAAAGAGTAAACGCTCAAATTCCCTGTTAACAAATTCCCTGTATACCTGCAGTGTAGAGTTCTCTCAGCTTCTCTTCATCCTGGTAAAAATCTGATAGTCTCTCATCATCGGCTTCAGATTTGTTGGCATCACCCTGGAACAAACACACACACACAGACACACACACACACAATCACATATAATCACAGAGCTCTGGGACAGTGGTTGTGATCACAGTCTTTATAATCATCATCATCTTCACCTTCCTTTTCCACACAATATTGATTATCTTTAAAGTGGAAGGCATTCGTTAGTTAAGAGGGAATGATTACGAAACAAAGAGCAGGACACAGATGGGCGGAGGGAATCTCCGGTGTTCTCTTGCTGAGTTATGTACATCGCTTTGGCAGCGATCTCCTGTCGTCACGCCATTAAAGCTTTGCGGAATTTAATTAAAATTCACGCCAGAAAGATTGAGGCAGACAGCTTTGGCAAAGGGTGTCCATATATGTGTGCGTGAGAGAGAGCAAGTGTTCTCTGATGGTGGAGATAAAAGATGGAAACTAAACAACAAAAGCTCACCAGCTGTGAAAGGCAGGCAATATCAAACATTTCCCCACCCTGGAGAGTATTTTGAGTATGAATGTATGTCAGCGAGAAAGACAAATAGAGGAAGAAAGGAAAAGAGGTACAGAAAGAGAAGAGGAGAGGGAAAAAGAACGATGGACAAAGAGCTGGAGAGCGAAACCACACAAGCAGGACGGAGGAAATTATTCCCAAGTTGGAAACATGGGTATCATCAGCACAACAGAGCTTTAACAGTCTAATACTCTGTGCTGTAGTAGTTTGAATAAAAATTAATCGCTGCCTTACTTCAGCTTGGAAGCCCTCCACCAAAATGGCGACGAGCAAGTTGAAGAGGACGTAGTTTCCAAAAGTCATAAGGGCTACAAAGTAGAGGGCAGCCAATGGCGTGGTGGAGGCCATCCCATTGTAGAGAACAGCATTCCAGTCCTCCTGGGTGAGAATCTGCAGATTAAAGGAGATGTGGGGAGGATTCAGAGGATAAACCCTGGGGCTGAGAAAATAATCTGTCAAAAGCAAAGGGACTTCTTGTACTGCAAACTCATATGAAAAAAGGGGGTGAATGTGCCCCCCTTTAACCGCCCTTCACTTTTTTTTTTTTTACTTAGATCTCATTTGATCATTTCCAGCTCTGGTAAAATTACCTTGTGTGTTTGTTCCACTTCTGTGCCTCCCCAACTGCTAGTGAAGCAAACCTCACCTGTCTACTGGGAGAGTTCTTAAATTTATTAGATAAAATGAGTGTGACTGCTCCCAAAGTGGAACAAATGAAATAACGGAGCAGATAATCAGCAACTGCAGTTTGAATTTCATTTCATTTCATTTCAAAATTGCATTCAGGTATAATTTATATTCAAAATATTTCCTGAGCCTTTTGAGTTTTACACATTCCGCTGTTTAAATTAATTTTGCAAAATAAATTTAAACTGGCAATGTTTGATCTTCCTGGGAATTGCTGTCAATATTTCCTCTTCTCAATGTTTACAGCTATTTCAGTTCTTCCAGAGGGTGTTCCAGGCTATTCTTGAATAACTTCTTGACTCTCACAAACATGCCTCTTGTCTTTTCTTGATGGCATCTCGAATTGCCTTTTCGAAACGCAAACATTAATAGAGTAAGTAACTTTGAGGTTGAGGTTTCTTCACACATGCTGTGGTATAATAGGCTCTGTCTCCCCTGAGATTGTTGGGTCTCTCGTGGACATTCCTGTACTTTTGCCAGCAAGCTGACACATGTCTTTCAGCGAATAATGGCTTCTGTGTAACCATCCTATCACAAAGGCCTCACTGGGAGACAGCCACATTGATGGTTGTCTCTCTGGAAGAATCTTTCATCTTTAAAAAGGAACTCCGGATGCCATCCATTCAGTTTACCTGACCAAAGTGCTTCCCATGTGACAGCTCATTTTGGTAGCTAGATCTGTTTGTGGCTCCTATCCCCTTTCACTTTAGTAAGAAACATTTTATTTAATCAGTCTTCTCAAGCTCTTAAAGAGAGGTCCATCTCCCACACATTAGAACACACAAAATACAGCAAAATGAGAAAAAAAAAGGAAAATATTGAGCTTATTTGCTTTTACACTTTAAAAACAAAAATCGCAGAACATCTTTGGTGAAACAAGTTGCATCTGAGTAAAACACAAGGTATCTGGTACAGTGTTAATCTATTTAAGACAAGACTAAAGGGGAGGCTTTTTTAAATAATTCACTATGATTGCAGAAAACTAAACACAGCATCTTAGCTCAAACACCTCATGGCAACTTTAGAACAAGGTGATGAAAGTCTGATAATTTAACTTTATTTAGAAGCCACATGAACTGGACACCACATCAGAATCCCCCATTAACTCCTCTTTATTCCCAGACATTTCAGAGATAAATGTGAGGCTTTCTGTCCAATTGTTCAAATTTCTATCTGTTTTATCTAACAGAATTATAGAACAAGACAATGATCCCAAACACAGCAACAAATCTAAATGCTTTGAAGTCCAGACTTCAAGTGGGCTGAAATGCTGCGGTGGGGCCTTAAGAGAGCTGTTCATAGATGAGAGCTGCACACCTCAATAATCTGAAGTAACAATATATAGAGGCAGGAATACCTCCACAAAGATATGAGGGTGAACAATAACAAGGTACAGGCAATCTTCCATTTGTTGCTGCTAAAGGTGCTTCAGCAAGCTACTGAATCATGGAGTGTAATTAGATTTTCTCACTGCATCTGCAATTTGGTTTAGTTTTTATTAGATAAATAATGAAATGGAAAAACACATCACATGTTCTTGTTTACAAGAGGTTGTATTTACCACATTACTAAACCTGATAAATCATTATTTCTCTGTCCTAAAGCCTTAAAATGACAGAATACAGCCTTTGGAAAAATCCTGTATGTATCATATAATTCACTACAAGAGAAATGCCTCTTTAAAATGCTGCTGAAATGCTTGTTAGCTCTCCGTGTGTCTGAATGCATGTGGGAGTGTGTGTCTAACCTGAAACACCGTGACGGTAGCCCACAGCAGAGAGTCAAAGTTTTTCCTGTCAGGTAAAGTGTCTCCGCTGTCTTGTCGCAAACCAAATTTACAGCCGAACAGATGCATCCCCAAAATGCTGCAATGCACACAGCCAAAAAAACAATGAGATAAAACTTTCATTACACAGTGATTAAATATAGAAACAGTGTAAAGCGTTTGCAGGAATGCTGCCTGTGGGAATAATTGTGTTTGCGTGAGAGGTGATAATACATGTGATTCAATATACTGAATATTTGAGTAAGACAAATGGTCAGGATGGTGATCACTGCTGTGTTTTTTTTAGAGCTAATATGTCTAATTAAAGCTGAAAAAAGCTGAGAGCTGCTGAAGCATGTTGCTTTGTGTGTCCACCTTGAAATTGTTACTTCACCAAGAGAAACAATGTACCTGAATATGAATATGAAGAGCATCAACAGCATGCAGAATGTTGCCACATTGTCCATGGTCTTCATCAGTACTACCAGCTGCCTCCTTAAGGCAGGAAGGAACCGGACCAGCTTCAAAACTCTCAGCAAACGGAAGGTGCGCAGCACCGACAAGCCACCCTCAGCTTCTCCCACTATCTCCCACACACTGAAAGACATGCACATGGCGTTAAAATGCACATAAACCACAATAAATCTTTTAAAAACATTTATGTAAAAATGTTATTTTTATCAGATGAAGTTTGTATCTATTCTTTAGATGTTACACATGAAAAAAATGAAAAAACTAAACTGGCCTGCCGCGTTTACAACCAGCCAGCCAATGGTTGAAGGAAGAGCAGTGTGAATAGGCCGAGTACGCTAAGACAAGCCTTCAAAAACAGATTCATAATTCATCTTGTGGTGCTACATAACCTAATGAACATGGGCCTTCTGGACTATAAGTGAAACCATTTGGCTCTTTCAGCATCACTGTGACAGCTGCAGAGCTGTGTCATGGGGATCAAAAGGATTTGCCATCCACAAGAAGAGGATTTAATGATAGAATTCCCATTTTGAGGTAAACACAGGGGCAGCCATTTCTCTCACCTGATTATGACAATGATGCTATCAAAGCCGTTATAAGGGTTCTTGATGTAGCCGAAGAGCCCCAGAGCCAGGAGCTTCAGCAGCATCTCAAGGCTGAAGAGACTGGTGAACACCATGTTACTGATCTCCAAAATATCTGTCAGCTCCTGCGGCTGAAGGCGTGCAGTGTTTGTAGAAACAAAAGAGGGATTGATTTTAAGAGAGCAGCAGGCACAGAGAAAAATGAACAAACAGAGACAGCAGTCAGTATGGAGGACAGCAGACTCAACCTGCAAGGCCTTTTCTGAAAATGTTAATCCATGCTTCTCTGTTGATACATGTGGACCAACCAGAATTTCGACCACAATTTTTTATCCAGTAGGGTGAGTTAATGCATTTCTATTATTAATGCCACTGGTTCTCAAACTGTGAGCCAAACAGGGATTTCAGGACACACTTAAGGATAAAAGTTATCTGGTTGGAAGTACCATGAAGATTTAATTTATCAAGAATTATAAACAAAAATTTAGATTATAAACAAAAAACTGAGTACTGAGTCGATAGATATATATAATATGCGTTAATGAAACTCTGATCAAATGAGTTTAGAAGTTATTATGTTGTTGTTTTGGATTTTTCTTTTCTGTTCTGTGTCACGTTTTATTATCTATTTGTTTAAAATAGGAAATAAATGTTTTATAACTTCGAAATATTCTAGTGCTTTACACAGATGTGACTTTGGACTATTTTACACATGCACATGGGTCCAAAAGACACAGTCTTGTGAAAAAATAAAAACAGCAAAATGTTAAGCTTTATATTTTTTTGAATATCTACACAACCAAGTATTTTACACACTGTGCTCTGGGGTTCACTTTGCTACCGAAGCATGTGGTGTCATCAAGTCAAGATGTAAAGAGGTCCCTCGGGAGTGGTGGAAAAAGAAAATTGATGTGAATACATCTAAGTTGGCTGAGTGATTTCAAAAGATGTGCAAAGAATTTTAAATACGGTCAGAAAAACAAGTGGTGAAGCTCTCCAAGGATTACAAAAAATGTCAAGAACTGCTTAACCTTGCGAATTCAATGGAGGAGCAATGCATTTAAGGACAGGTTGAAAGTTGAAAAAAATCTCCACAGGATGTGAAAGTAATTCTGGGAATAAAGAGAGACTGAAGAAGACCGAAATCGCAGAAATATTTTAGAAAAGTGGTTCCCTGAAACATTAAAGTCAATTTGACAGCGACCAAATTAATCTTTTAATGTATAAACATTTGTGAAAGATGGTGATGGAAATGTCTTTATAGGTTTCCCCCTATGCTGGGTGATGACCAGCGTTTAGTTGATGATTACACTGTGACTAAAAGGAGCATCCTAAATAGACTGTCCTCCTCCATATAAAAGCTGAAAAGCAGCTCCTAAAGGTATGTAAGAAATTTGAAGATCAATGTATATGTGCCAAGAATTTAATATTACTGAAAGTTAGTTTTTTAAAAATGCGTTATCTTTACAAACTCCTTCCTGTCTTGAGACAGAACATGTTTATTATAGTCATTTATGCATTGATTAAGTTGACTCATAAAACACTAACTTTTGTTCGTCCCAAATCCACCACAACAGTTTGAATCTAGGGAAGATGCAGCACCCCACAAAAATGTTGAGCCACTCCACATTTACTTTCATCGAGCCAGACTGTGGTGTAATCTTGTTAAAATGTCGTTCAATATTTCTCCAGACATCGTTAAGGTCTTTTAAAGTTTTTCTGTGGGCCATGGCAGTTTTTCCACAAACTTTCAGACCTGTTCTTGTGCCTGATGATTTTCAAAGGAAAAAGTTTTTTACTTGCCATCGTCAAACGACATATCATTTGTTCTCATTTCAATAGATGAAAAACTAATAACAATGGCAAAAGATGATACACTTTGACATAAAAAAAAGATTTTAATCAACAATTTAATTCCCAAACACAATTAGCTTAGGGACAGTGATGTTCCTAAGAGATAAAAGCAAAGCAAATGAGCCAGCAAATGGATGAGGTATGTCAGTGTAAACAGAACCTGGACTGAAAATCAGTGGGAAAAGCCCGCTTTTGATTGATGAAGTCTCCAGAGAGTCTCAACATTATTGAAGCAGTGTACTATCAACTTCTCAGAGAACAGAACAAAAGGCAGACAAACCCAAAGAAGAGCTATGAAATGTACTTCAAGAAGCAGGGAGAACTACTCTTCAAGACCACTTAAAGAAATGAATGGAAAGCTTGTCTGAGAGGCTTCATGACATGCTGATGGACAACGGTGCTTTTCAACCAGCCCTGTAGTTTTCCTTAAATGCTACATTTGCATTTATCTTTGCATATTACAACAAATCACACTGCGTCCTATCAATTTTCAGGGCACATAAAGGAATGAAAGGCAGCTCCAAGCTTATGGACAACATTTTAAATGTGTGTTTTCCTATTAATAAAAAAAGAAAATGTATTCTAATTAATGGCTGTAATTCACATAATACTTTAATGAAAACTTGCATGCAAAGTATATTTTTGTCTGACAATGCAGAATATGTCAAGCAAAATCGTAACACTTTAAAGGTCATTATGGGTATTTAGCATTCTTAAAATATTGAAGTCATGGAAATGTCATCCTGGATTCTTTAAAACATGGATTTTTAACAGGGTCAAAAAATATACACAGTATACAAATTTTAATGGAAATGAATGCATTTTTGGCAGTCATTGTTATGAACAGTGCTTGTCACTAAGCAAGGAGATATTTCCACAGTGTTGAGTAAATATAAATGTTTAGTTTCATGTAACTAAAACATCCCACAGATTCCAGCAGTTTTGATGCTGTGATATTGGAAGCATAATGAGAGATATGTTGTAGCAGCGGGCAACGTTTATTCCTTTAACCAGTGAACACAACCACTGTATCTTATTTCTCTCAGCTCATCAAACCAACAAAGCTGCATTAACTAATCTCTGAGCATGCTCTGACATCTGGCTGACACAGAGCAAATCTCCAGAGAGAAAAAAGTCTCTGAGGTGATTCTGAAAAATCTACGCTAGTCACGTTAACTGAGACGATGGAATACTGCAAAATGAAATGGAAGGACTTTTGCAATAGTTTCTGAATAATAATACAGTCTTTCTGCATTGAGGAAACCAAATCAGGCCTTCTCCACACATTCATGGATTATTTTATTAATTCACACATCCTAATAGTTGGATTTTAGCTCCTCATTATGATCCTAATAAAAAGGCACATTATAGGGAAGCTTTTATACTTAAACATTATTATTAAAGTTATGGCTCTCCAGTCCTGGCACATTGCTCAGGAAGAGGGCCAAGTAAAATCTTCTGTCGTCTTTCACAACCCGCCCGTAACTTTCAGCTAATCACACGGTCAAATCTGCCGCTTCTTCCACATTTTTCTCCTCCCTTCCCTCCCTCTTGCTTCCTTCACTCTGCCCCATCTCCTCACTGCTCAATCCCTCTCCTGTCCCAGGGTCATGCTTTAATTAACACTTGAGCCCTCATGAGTTCCCCTCCTCCTGAGACATGCCGGCGTGCACTCACCCACAGTCCCGCACACTCCCGCATATATTTACACACATTCATGTCACAATCCCATATGCTGCGTGTTGTAAGTGTTGATTGGAGGGCAAGGTTGATGACTCTCCCACACACAGCGATTAACCCGTCAATCACACCCTAGTCACACTCAGTCTGTCTGAAGGAGGTAATGCATGCAGCAGTGCACGTCCAGACACACACGGGCACATGCCAAAAACCATACCTGTTCGTGGTACTCTATCCCCATTGAGAGCGTGTTAATGAGGATGGCAATCATGATTCCTCTGTTGAAGTATCTGCTCCCAACGATAAGTTCCAGTTTGCTTTGCAGTCCTACCCAGCAACGCTCCCATAGCCTCTCCTTTGGCTCTAACACCTGTGCATCACCACGACAGGGACTGCTACAGTGGCATGGGCTGTTACCATGACACGGGCTGTTGCTACGGCATGAGCTGTGATACCCCTGCTGCCGGTCTTCAAGCAGGATGTTAACGTTTTCATTCCCACTGAGCTGGTTGTAGCAGACGCAGTACGGACATACCGAGGAATCTCCAGGAACCTCACCGGGATGCCCAGTAGACCCACCTAAACACAGACATCAGGGCAGAGGGGGGACGGGGGGTAAACAGGAGCTGTGTCAATCATAAACCCAAAAGTAACAAAGTAAGAAGTGAATTCCAGATGTCACACTCATTCAATGCAGTCTGTTACTCAGTATGTTTTATGTCCAGTAACACAGAGGACCTCATTTTCATTTCTGCGAGACAGAGATTCTATAACATGAGAGCCACAGAGGAGTTGGGATGCTGTTGTTGAGAAGGAGACGGCTTTTATTAGAAGCGGGAAAAGGCGGGGGGGGGGGGGGCGGATTTCGGCAGTATTCATTAGCAGGCCACTAGGGAGGAATGCTCCGATGACATAACAACAAACACTAATCTAGCAGGAGAAGTTTACTTGTCATCGCAATTACAAGAAATTCAGGTTTCAGATTGATATAGTAAATCCAATCCAGTCATTATTCATTCCTATAAATACTTGATGAAAATGACTACCTTTGTTGCTTTTCAGAAAAGACACTCATTTATCGCTGTAGCAGTGGAGCAATGTACTCAAGAGGGATTTCCTTTTCCTTTCACATATGAATGGAGTGCTTTGGAAACACTAAACTGAAAAATCGAAGATTAACAGCTTAAATCATAAAAGATAGAATAATTCTTCCTGAGAAAACACTTAAAGAACTGCAAAATAATTAGGAGATTTGTAAAGCCTTAATGATTCAGGATTACCACAACCTGGAAAACAATAAACTATCACGCTCCTTTTTTGGACCCCATATGTTTATAAATCTGTTAAACTTTTCTGGAAAAGAAATGTCCTGTTTTTTTTCTCACAACATTGTTACCAAAAGAGTTTGCAACTGCTGTAAATGTGTTTTCCATATATTTCTTCCTAACTTTACATCCCTTAATCCACATTTTTGTTTTCCAGACATGATCAAGGATTACAATACCCTTGAGTATGAATCTGTTTTAAAGGAGAATCCTATGTAGGCTGTCTTGTAACTCAATGAATAATGTATACGTCCACTACTGTGTTTGAGCATACGGTTTGCCTTGTCAATTCATTACATAATATGCTACTACCAGGAACTGAAATTCTTTTTGCGCTTTCAATATCCTTCAAAGCAGCAGGATTCTCAAAAGAATCATGACCATGAGAAATTTCATCTTGCCGGGCTTTGAAGCGATGCGTTGGTGGCTGAGGCTCAGTGGACACAGCAGCAGCAGCCCACACTGGCAAATAGCCCTGTGTCTTAACTGTGTTAATCACGTGTGCACAGCAATACTCCACTATTTACACGATTAAGATCTTACTCTGCAAAGTTGAAATCTTTTTCAGGACACTTTAATCCAAATAGGGTCGTTCAGTCTAATCTTACTTGCAATATTTAAGCATTTATATCACATGTGGCATCACACTGCTGCTTTACAATACGTGCCTTTGTTCGTGTCTCCACACGGGCCACATCTAGCTCTTGTGAATGAGACTAGGGCATCAGTAATAATAACTTATGTTATAACAACATCAACCTCAGAGAAAATGATGATTACAGGTAAGAAGAGCCATGTTTTTGGGTTGAGGGAGAAACTCAATTAATGCCCAATGTTTTGAGAGACATGGATGTAATTACAGCTTTGGATTCATGCAGTGAAAGGGCTTTGGGGGGGGGGTGTAATGTGGGTATGATTGTTTTCTTGCACTCTATTCTGTGACATGTAGAGAGGAACATGAATGGAATAGGCTTTACTCATGTAAACACCATGATCAGAGAATTGTTTGTGATAAATGGGAAGTGGCCTTGCGGGAACAAATCCTTTTCATTTAAGAGGTTGTTTTTCCCTCTTCATATAACTGGCTGATTTGGCAGTGGTTTATTGATCTAACTGGTTTAAGTTCACAGATGGTGACAGAGAAATGATCTAATCTATCAAAATTAAAGTAAAAAACTGGAAGCTTTTTTCCAAAAAACCTTCCAAGAACATTTTCATAAATGGCCTTGTGTAACCAAACAAAGTTTATATAAAAAAGTCTCTCCTTGTTTCAGATGTGGTAACATCCATTCTCTTGATATTTCAAGCAAAGCGTTAATGTCATGTCAGTGTCTGGTTCAGTAAGAAGGGTATGCTCTTTTATAATCTAAAGAAGCAATTAGCTGAAATTAAACTGAGTCAAACCAAAACTGGAAAGTCACAGGAAAACTTTGCTCAACCATATCTGGCAACAAGCCACAATTTCTCATGTCCGACCCCTTAAAACTCTGTAACCTTGAGATCATCCACAAAAAAGACAAACACCCCATCCTTCTCACCATGCTCCAGCACCAGCTGAGGCAGTCTGTTGATGGTCTCCGTGGCAACCGGCCTCTTCTGCTCCTGGTCCTTATCCTCCAGGTGGCTGAAGAGTGGCGATATGATGGGATAATTAAAACAGTTCCCTCCATTGCTGACAGCCGGTTCAGGCTGGTGGTGGCGGTGGTGATGCTGGTGATTGAGATGGTAAAGCTGGTGGAGGCGGGCTAAGTCGTTGGGGGCGTGGCCTGAGTGCCGATTGGCAAGTCCGTTCATCTCTCCGGTCCCGCCCCCTCTGCCAGAGGCCCCGGCCTGATCTTTTTTGCACATGCAGGTGCAGTGGAAGCGTGAGCTGAACTGAGCGAAGCAGCGGGACAGCCGCCGCCACGCCTTCCGGCCCAGGTGTGCCAGGTAGCGGATGATCTCCTCGTAGCAGCTCCCCGGCTGACTGTCACTGGCCAGGGTGGACGTTGACTGGTGGAGGAGGCGGGCTCGCTGCTCCGATTTCATTAAGGCGTGTTCTCTCTGCTTGGTTTCAGAAAACTGGGTTGCTATGACGACCAGGCACAGGTTGATCATGAAGAAAGAGCCCACCTGGATAGGATATTTCAAGGAAACCGTGAGCTGTAACGCAAGTGGTACTTATGAACGTGTGTGTGTGTGTGTGTCTGTACTTACTATAATGAGGAAAATGAAATAGATGAAGTTGTAGAAGGAGTGTGCATCCATGACATAATACATGATGTCTACCCAACCCTCAAGAGTAATTACCTGAGTGACAGCAAGCAAACAACTTAAAAGTCATCAGAATCCGGAGTACTTTACATGTCCTCACAGCCAGTGATTGATCAAAGATGCCATTCTCTACATGAAAGCTCACCTGAAAAATTGCAATCCATGCATATCCAATGTTGTCAAAGTTAATAGCCCCTTTGTGTGGGTTTATTTCACCAGCCCGACACTCGTTGTAATACTGATACCAGTTTATACATGATGCTGGCTCATCTACTCGGAGTCCTGTCTCTGAATGGGCTTCCTCGGCACCCAGGAAGCAGTAAGTCCCACGTACACGCCGGCGAGGCACATCAGAACACCGAAGCATCCCATTGTCTCTCTCTACAGAGCAGATGAAGGGGTGGTCATCTGTGCCATCAGGCTGATAATATCCCTTCAGGAAGGTGACGTTGTATCTCCTGCAGAAGAACGATGAAGTGAATAAACAACAATCCCTTGTTTTGTTTAGTTGTTGTATTGTGTGTATTTTGTAGTTTTCCCCTGACTTTATATAGTTAAAAACTGAGTCTAAACAAAAATTCTCACTTACTATTATGAATCAAATTCAAAAAAGTATTTGGATTATATCGACTAAAGCTAAAAAGATTTTCAGAGAGATAAGTCATTCAAGTGACCTTTTTGTTTCTGCTGAAGGTCTTTTTACTTAAGGAAAGGCACAAGTGTTGTAGGAGGAAATGAGGAAATAACAGAGTTGTATGGATGGAGGTATAAGAATAAAAAGAAAGGAAGGGGATACTTTGAGAAACAACCCATCAAACCTTTGTGAGGTGAAAAAGGGTTGAAGTAGAACTCTGTGGCCTCACTTCTTATTAGGTTTATGAGGACCAAAATATCCAAGCTGCAACTTTGAACATAAAATCTAGAGGAGACCTTTTGGATAAAAAATCAAAGCTATTGTGCAAACAGCGTGGCAAAAAGAAATAGAAATTTCCCTTTCTCCTCTTTTGTTCTCATTTTGTGAAACACTTGTGACTTGATTACATCTGTCTGTGTTGCAGGTGGTGACAGATTGAAACCTGTTTCTCAAAAGGTTTAAACACAGTGTTGCAGAGGATGGGCTTATTTCCATTGAAATAGGCTCAGCAGTTCCGTGTAGTGGTGCCAGTGCAGGCTTTTTGAGACTGGCACCAGCCTTTTTTCTGTGAAAATGCTGGCTCCAGGTATGGAAATGACAATGTGTTAGAGGGAAAAAGGGTCAGTACTTTAGGTGCTGTCCAACCAACAGAACCCAGCATTTAAACAGTCCAGAGCTTTTTTTTTCTAAAAGCAAAAAACAATTTCAGATCTGGGTGTTTTTACACTCAAGTCTTATGTACAATAGTCACACTAAGGTTCTGGAGATTTAAAAAAGTACCTCTTCCCTACCAAGACCTTTTTTTTAGATCTGTTTGGCTGCTAGTTCCAGTGGAGGGTATAGAAGAAAGAATCCTTGGTGGTTCTTGGAAAAGTTCCTACTGTCAAAATACAATTATTACCTTGAAACCTATAAATTAAATATATCTATGTCATTAAAAGTAGGAGGCAGTTTTAGTTAAAATAGCAGCTGCACCTCCTAGTGGAACAAACAACAAAGCACTGCTGCTGATTTTACAGGTGAGTCAGATGAGGACATATGAGGTCAAGAGCTGGAAATGATGCCCCCTGATGTTATTTGACCATGTCAAAGAGACAGTAATGTTGTAACACCATGAGGCAGGCAGTGATCAAGCATGACATTAAGGAGGCACAGTGAAACTGATCTCTGTGGAAGCATTTTCAAGGATCCAACAAGAGGCTTTTTTGTTCACATCCTCAGACAATGCTGGTTGAGGCTCAAATAATCAGACTACCAGTGAGGTTGAGTTTTGTTGGAAGGACATATGTCATCATCAGCTGTGACAGGATTCAGAAAAATAAGACGGATGCCTCCCTTTTTTTGACATCTGTCTGTTACTATAGTAACTCACATCTTTATCTCCTCTCCCATGAAACAGCGGTTCCTCAGTAGCCCCGCCCACAGCTGAACTCCAACAATGCCGAAGATGAAGAAGACAAAGAAGCACAGCGCCAGCACGTTGCCCAGCATTGGAAGTGTATCGAGCAGGAGGGTCACCAGGATACGCATACCTGAGAGGACACAAAGCATGCACACCAAATCAAGATTCTGAGGCAGGCAAAGAGTAAACTCTACCAAGATGTCATAAGAATGGAAACTCTGGTCGAACAGGTGACATCTCCTCGTGCAGTCTGCAGAAAAATAAAGCGGCACAATTAGCTGAACCAGCTGACAAATATTTATAGATGCTAAAAATTGCTTTCCAATCTGGTCCCCTGAAAATTGCACTCACACAGACTTTCTTTCTGCTTCGCAGCTTCTGGATATGTCAAACACAGCCCCAAAAAGAACTCAATCTGAGTCGTGCCAAGGTCATAGGCTGTGGCTCAGAAAAACATAAAGTTGGCTGGGAGGTTGTGCACTGAGCTCTGTTGAGAGCAACAGAGGCAACGCAATGAATTCCATGACTTTGTTCAGAGTGTCCTGATTTGTTTACACTCGCATTCATCGAAAAAAAAAAAAAGGGAACAGCGGTTTTAAACAGACATTTAGCCTCTGGTTCTGGTTTAAGACATGAAGCAGAGTTTACTGTGTGGTCGGGAAGCACGAGCACAGTTGCCACATTTTTCATTGTATTGGCTGTGACTAATGAGGTGGCTGACTTTCAGCTGAGGGTATTTCCACATCAGCGCAGTAATTGCAGCCAACTCCATACATTGTCCAATTAAAGGGGAACTGGGGCTGGTAAAGCAAGTTACTGTAAACTTAGGTAGGTCTTGCACCGTCATCATATTTCACTTTTGTTCAGTCAGTGGCTTTCTCGACTGCTCATATCTGTTTCTGATGATGTTTTGCCAGGTGTGTTCAGAAGCCATCATCTCTTTGTGTATGTTTCTGGTTGTTATTATCAATCGTGCATTACAAAGTTTGAGCATAAAAATCTCTTTAAATGCCTAATCTCATCTCATTTTAAGTTGTCACTGGTTACACTGCATTAAAACTTCACTGCAGCCAATGTAGAATGATATGTACTAATTTTCCACATTTAAATGTAGGTGTTTACCTGAGCATGTTCACTTGAACTATGCATTTCTGAATCTCCTGTCTCCTTTAATGTTTCCCAGTTTCCACTCCCCTGTCCTTAAGCCCGATCAGAAAACAGTGATCAGTCATAAAAGGGAGGGCCGAGCATGAATTCAACCTCATGTGGCACTTCTCAGCTGTGCCTCGATGTGATTTATAATGGACTCACAGCAACATATGAAAGGAAATCTTGTCTGACTCGCATTATTGTATTAGAACAGCACCTTGTCACATGATGTTTGCCAGAGCGAGGCAGCTGCAGTCAGGTCAGGTCTGGCACTGCGGCTGCCATCTGTGCAGACTGAGAATCACCTCTGACACGTCTCTGACCTGACTGGGACCTGGCTTCACTATGTGCTTGGTTTACATCCTCAAGTTTCCATATCAGTGATCACTTCCAGTTATTTCTCCAATATGTAACGCAATGGTTGATTATTTTCTCAACACATGGACACCGAACAATGAGTTATATCCAGAAGAAAAACTGTGTCCTGTTTGTGTGGAGGAAGTCGTATCGTTGAAGTTCTTACTCTGTGTCTCTATGGAGAAACTTCTATTTCACGTATCTGGCGTGATGTTATGGTAGGATGAAAGAAATCTGTGCAAAGTCAGCCCCTGCTGTGAGCTTATCGATGTTGGTGAACTCTGACTCGACTGCAGTCTTTTTACTCTCCGCCTCTGACCTCGCCAACATTCATAAAGTCAGCCACAGATGCACTTGAGTGCACCAAGCGGCTCGTTCTTTGCTTGAGGTGTGCCAAAATAGCCGCTAGGCCGGCATTTTGGAAATGTGGGTCACGGTGATGTGGTTTGGTAAACGAGGAAAAGCCTGGATTTAGATGCGCTTCGGGCATTTCAGACCAGTGACTTCAGTGGGAGAGAATCACTCCCTTTGGAATGCCTGTCGGATGTAGTAACTTTGTGTTACATGCACAAGAAGTGATATAACACACTGAAAGAGGAAAAAGAAGGAAAACACACAGGGTCAGCACTTTAAAGCCATTTAAAGTCAGCACTTTGAACCTCAGAATCTCTCATTAATTCAGAGTCCACTGTTCTGATAAATGGGCACAAAACTAACGGAAATGGATCAATTTCCCGTTAAACTGGATGTCACTGAACTGCAACATGTCAGAGAGAAGAGATAAACTCACTGGGAACTCTGTTGATGGCTCGTAGCGGACGGAGAACCCGAACAGTCCGGATGGCTGACAGGCTGACGTTGTGTCCGTCCAGCGAGTACTCCAGCATGCTGCAGCGAGGGAAAAGCACCCACGTGTTTCTGATGTCCTGATCAACCTGACCTTGGCAAACTGCGAGCATCTACGGGGAATGCTTTCTCTGGGATACACAGCCTTTTAACCAGCGGTCGCCGAGGTCTGGGTCTCCCGGGACTGAGCGATACAATTGTCATTCTATGAAGCTATCGCACACCACACACACTGTACAACTCAGCGCGCGCACACACATGTTTGACATTTATCTGGCATTAAACAAGTCTCTAAGCTTTACACAAAACACACACGTACACACAGTTGGCTCATATTTAATGTCAGATGAGAGCGCGTATGTGTGAGTGTGGGGGGGGGGGTGTCTGCAAGGCACTCACCCCACAAGAACGATGAAGAAGTCCAATCTGTTCCATGTGTCGCCTAGGTAACCTTTCTGACCTATGACCCCGAGAGCCACCATCTTCACCAGCATCTCACCAGCGAAAAACACAAAGATCCCATCATCCAGAGCCTGTGACACAGACACAAGTACACAAGGGATGAGTGTGTCCTGATTAGGTGGAATGACAATTGAAACCGGAACTTTTCGGAGCCTTGATAACAAAGTGTGCGCTTTACCTGCAGCAGGAAGGGGGTCCGGTCACAGGGCTGGAACATCCCCAAAGTCACACAGTTCAGCAGGATGGCCAGAATGCTCACACGCTCAAACCACGTGATGTATTGTTAAAGGTCAACAATGAAGTTTGAACACTGATTACAACAAATTTTCAACATTAGAGCATTCAGTTTAATGTACAGTTCGACGAAATACAACCAGTGACAATGAGTAAACTGAACAAAGAGATGTCTATAAGCACGTCAAAATGAACCAATAAAAACTACATATCATTTACACATACACACTTGCATTTAAGTGCTTTATCAGGTCCTAAAGCCCCAACTTTCTTTCTTCTGTTATATCTGCCTCAAGTATTTGCCAAGATGGTGATGAACAGGAACACAAAACTTTACACAAACAATCATGAAAACCTTTTATCTTGTGGTAATGCAGCTGATCGAGCATGAACATTTGATTAAGCGAGCTATAGATCTGCAACAGTTCAAAGTAGAATAAAACTGTCTCCAATTTGTTACTCCAAGATTTTTTCCTTCACAAAAGCCAAAGCAGATTCAGTTCCGCTTGAATTAAGTGATAAACAACAGCTATAAAGAAAAGAAACATATTTGTTCATTTGATGTTTTGGTTGTTATGTCCTCAAACGTATCTTTCCAAAGTTTCCCATAAGGATTGTTATTATTTGAGTACAGAGACAGAAATGTGCAAACACATTTAAAACAATTAATAATTCAATCTGTGAGTGTCAAAGTGGTTTTGAAGTTTCCTCATGGATTCCCTGTTTGTGAAAATATCAGGCCCCAAGAGCCTGTGAAGGCCAAAGTATATAATTCCCATAATTTTAATACTGATCATCAGCCAACCAGTGACCCTTCTTGGCTTCGGTGGATTGATATGCATTCATGGTTCCTCATCAGTTTTTTTGGAACGTCACTGCTAAGTCTCTGGCCAATGGTAATGCAGCACAGAAGAAAAATGTCTGAGGTCAGTCAGCCTTACAGTATATACCTGTGGGTAACAATTGTGCTTAAAATCAAAAAGAAAAGTACAGAACTGACAACACAAATAGCAAACAAAAATACAGCGTTTATGGGGTAAACTCTTTCAACTGTGCTATGTCAAACTTTATTTGCAAGCACAAAATCTGCCAAAATCGTTTCAAATGTTTAATACTCATCACTTCAAAAGCCATACAGCTATGAACAGACAGCGGCAGAAACAGACAGCAGACTTCTGAAGTCAGTTTAAGTGTAAACTTGAATGTAGTGTGTGTTTGAACATCGGTGTGGCTTGCTGGCTGTCAAACTGGAGGACAGAGCATGAATCAGACGTGGAAAGCAGAAAGGCTTAAAAGGGAGGAATAGTCTGAAGTGGAAAGTTAAATGAAACATTGTGTTGAATTTGTGCAAATGTGGACATCTACAACACACAAACACATCCGAGCGCCAACTGAATGGATGACAGGAATGTATTCAAGAAGCAAGGACGCATGCATAACAAAGCCCGGAGCATGCACGTGCACACGTACACGGACCCAGATGTGTGCGCCACGCGCCCGCACAAACACGCACAAACACGCACAAACACGCACAAACACACACCGAGTCCCCTTTCGACACTTTGCTCTCGAGAGGGCGGAAAAATTAATGAGAGTACAATCCTTTATCACCCTTGAGACAGAGAGAGAGGGAGAGAGAAACGACGGGAAGAGGGAAAGAGCGAGGGTAATCTAGTGTCCTCCCTTTGCTACGGTTGCCATGGGAACCCCCATCTCACCGTGGGAACTGACTTCTGAGTTTCACAATCCGCTTGCATCCTGTCTGGACTGGAACACAACGCAATTAATGCATGCACAAAGTCAACACACTAACACTGACAGGTAATGAAAAGCCATGTCCTGCCGCACGACTCCCGCCACAGCAGCCGTTATTCCCGCACAGCTGACGGGAGTCCTTTTAATCCTGTTCCATCTGTGGAAGTTAGGGCAGCTTTATTAATTCTGTACGTCTACCAAGCACACACTCAGACGTGCACCCAGAACGTACGCATAGTTAAATGAGGGAAGGGTCGGGGTCAAGGTGTTAGTGATGGATGAGATGGGATTTTTTTCCACAGTTGGCACATCATTCCGTATCAGTGCCGAAACACAAAGAGAGTGTCCTTTCCTCTGTTTCCTCTCTCCATTGCTTTTCCTTTATCTCCTCAGTCACTCAACCTTTCCCTCCATCATCTTTCATTTTCCTCTCTTTGGCCCAATTATTCTTTCCTTTGCTTTGCTCCTCCTGCTCTCCATCTCTCCCTCTCCCTTTATATAGCACTGCATAATTTCCCATCTTCATTCCGAATGACTTCTTGCATATCTCTTTTGCCTCCGCCATCGACTCTCGTGCTCATGCAATCTCCGTTCTTACTGGAACGCCTTTGCTCATCTGTTTCTGGCATCTCCAGCTTAGATCGCCCTTGGGTAAGGTTCTAGCCTCTGTCAGAAACCTGAATCTCAACCAACAGATAAAACACAACTGCACTTGATAATTAACAACATCAGAGAGAATGAGGAAGCATAGGAACAGGCAGTGACAGAGACCGAGGTTGAGTAAATTAAGAAAGAGGAGCATGAAAGATCAAATATGAGAGGAAGGAAAATGATTTCATGTGTAAGGTTAAATAAAACAGAACCGAAGAGAGATCACAGGGGCCAAGACCCTGCCGATGTAAGCTTTTAAGTGTAAACAACTGCCAATGTTGCGTGGCCTCCTCGCTTTGTCTTCCGTCCTAATTGCATCATCTCATCTTTGCATTCCTCCTCCCTCCTGGCCCTCCTCTCTCATACTCTCCCTCTCTTGAACTCTCTCTCTCCACGAGTGCCAACACAGGTAATAAAGGTCAGGCAGACATTATAAATCAAATCAGATCACATCATCCTGATCTTTTTGGCATCATGCTGCACTCTTGGCCGGGACGCACATGCTAAGGCCAGCGTGTGGGAACATTTTCATGTGGAACGTTCATTAACTTAAAAGGATCATCCACAGGGACGGAGAGGCTGTCAGAATAAAGAGAAGGTCGAACAATTTCCAACGTAGTGCCCTCTTCATGAAGAACACTTTAGTAAACAGCTTCATGGAATAGTTTACTATTTTGAAAAAAAGATACGTTTTTATACTAATTTAAAAGTTTTTAATTTGTATTTGGGGATTACTTGGCTTTGTGAGATTCATCTGAGAGTGACTCTTCATGCCGCTACGCAGTTTGATTTTAATCTGAGATTATTCCGTTTAGCTTTTTTTTGTAAAGGACCCATCCCTCCAGGACTTTATAGTTCTGCTCACTGGCCATTGTGGAAAACAATGCAAGCATCAAGCCCACTCCCATAAAAAATGTCAAATACACTTGTAAAGGGTATATGTAAAAGGATTTTTTTTTTGCTGATGAAGAGAAGATCTACATTCTTATTTCTAGCAATACCTCTAAAGTCATATACTTGATCATCATAAACATCCTTAGCAACAAAGATTACATTAGGACGTCTGTTCATTACCTGTTTACTGTGTGACCTGGGGGAAATTATCTCAAGACATCAAAAAATATTTTTCCAAATGCCTCCTATAATGGGAGTACATGTGGGAAATACAGCAAAACCAGTGCCAAAGCTGTAAACATATTCTGTCATGCACTACCACAGCAAATTTAGCGAGTTAGCTCTTTTTTTTTTGCAAATTACCCTTGATGTCTCTAAACACCTCGGCTATATCTGTGTAGACGATAAATTACACAAGCAAAGTGTTTGGCAAAAGTGAGAACATACATTTAAGAAGGACTGGTTGTGCCTGAAACAATGAGCTTAAGATAAGAGTTTTAGGTTCACAAGGATTGTCCTTGTAAAAGATTTTTAAAAGCTGTCATGTATGTGCAATCAAATACACATGCATGAAAGCAAACAATAAAAAGTAAAATAAGTATTCATTAAGAAGATACCCCTCAGGGTAACAGACTATATTTGGCTTCTGAACATCAACATCCAGCTTTGGATTAATACTTGAGTCTGGAGTTAATCAAGAGATGTTTACTGTGAACAGTTTTTTTTTTCAGCTTATCAACATTAACAGCATGCATAATGGATTATTGGAAAGGCTCTTAATTAAATTACCAGCTGCCTTTTGTCAAATGAGCAATCTTCAACATATTTATATGTAGGTTGTTCTTTCTATGCCAACCACAGTTTGTTCCGAACCCTAACCCTAACCATTCTCACGCTTCATACTCTCTTTCTCAAAGCTGTCTCTGCTGACTTATTTGCAGAATTGTATGAGTTGAAGGAAGGATGGTGGCAGATATTCTGAAAGACTTTAGGAGGCAAACATGCTGTTAAGAGTACTCTGACACACATAAACAATAATGTGAGTCTGCAGCACTTTTATCACATTGTTGCATAAGGGCATTGTTGTTCTAGCACCCTTAGGAATCAAAACAAACTTTTTTAAGTAAAGTTCATCAATCGAAAATGCAAGAAAAAAACACAAAAGACTGTCAAAGACTGTCTCCTACATTCATTCTGTCCTCACATTTTTTTCCAAAAATTAGTGGAATGTCACTGGAGAGACTTGTAGAGTCTTATCTTAGTTGTGGGAACTTTCTTACGGCTATTCTTCTATACCCTTGCTTCCACCCTAAACATATCCATCCATTCACTATTTTTCTCATTTTTCATTTCCATTTAAAAGCATCTTTAGTATTCTCTGCTCTATAAGTTTGGCCAAGACACAAAATCAAAATGTCTAGATTAGATTAAAAGATATTGCTGCATTTACATAATGGATGGGGCCTCTCTATGAATACAGGCTTCCCCATGAAAATACTTTTATACTTTATAGACTATTTTTAGACTAAAATTTGTTACCTTGCCAGTACAGGTTATCTAGAACTGTGCCAAACGAAGACATTCTTGTGCAGCAAGATGATTTAAAGCACAATGAAAGTCATTATTTCATATAGAAGTCTTTTACTTAAGAAAAGTAAAGCTATTTAGATTCATTTATCTATATTACAAATTGTTTACCTCTGACAATCCAAACATATTAATCATAATGTACTACTACTACTATGACAACTACATTATATATAAACATACATATAGCAGATATATGTGTGACATATATTAAGTCCTCTCACAATAACAATAATAAAGTTGACAATATTAATCGAAAAGATGTTTATAGGTAAAACAAACCACACATTATTTGAGAACACCTGTTCCCAGCGAACTTTCAAATTGACATTTTTACATTTAGCAGATACTTTGATGTAAATTAGCTTAAAGATACAGGAGAATGCAGCAGCAAACAATGTGTGGTTTCTGTGCCAATTCAGCATGTGGCCTATGGAACTCTGGAGTGGATCTCCTACCTTTTGACCTAGAACAGCCACTTTTATTCGACCGCACAGCTAATCCCAAATTACCATTTAAAAAACTCTGTGAGTGAAACACCCCAACGATTTACGAACCATAAATAAAGAGATTTTTTTTCAATTTATAGGGGCACATGGAAAAGGAAAATGGAGCTTTAAAGGGAGTCCTAAAATATGAACTACTGCTCACTAATTTAATGCTCTTTGCTGCTTGGCCCCACATCCTCTGTTTGGCATCCATACACACAGACTTGATTAAACATAACCTATTTAAACTCAGTCTTACATGAGCTGTGTGTGAGTGTGCGTGTGTGTGTGTGTGTGTGTGCGTACGTGCGTGCGTGTGTGCGTAAGGCGGAAAGGATCTCTGACAAGAAGGTGAGCCAAGTCAAGTTGTCAAGTCCACTGGCTCCACCCCTTAAGAGTGTGACAACTGGTAACCACGGAAACACTTGCTAGACTCATGTTAATTGGCTGAAATGATCTTGACAGCTCCCTCTACTTTGAGTAAGATCTCTTCAAACACACACACACAGCTCAACCCAATTAAGAACATGTTGTGGGAAAGGAAAAGTGGGAAAATAAGAGACATGGCTTTTACTGATATAAAATGAGAAGGGATGAGGATAAAGAGGGAAAAGGAGGAGAGCAGCATAAGAAAGACAAGCACAGAAAGGTACTTGTAAAGTAGTGACAGAATCAGCTTTTCCCATCTTTAAACAAAGGAATGATCTGAATGTTTTATGCACTTCTGAATAAGTTATGCACTGTGTGTGCCATGTATTGGTACATTTGTGTGTGTGTAATCCCAAAATCCATACAATAGTGTGCCTGTTTATGTGTGTCTTATTACATCATGACATTAAAGGAGTGGGGTGAGAGCCACATGAAGGAATCTTGATCTACGTTTCCAGTATGGCCATCGTCCCCTACATAAAGACTGCAGGGAATGACAGAAATCAATGTAGCTCAGATTGGCTACAGGAAGATGTTATATAATACAAAAAGGTAGTCTTTCTCCTTTTCCAAATTATTTAGTTGTATGAAGCATGAGAAAACACACATTCAGTTGAAAACAAGGTAAAAAATGAGCACTCCTGATTTTTGCATGGGGAGGAAAATGAGATGAAGAGATGGGTAATTAATTTGTAATACATACTGAGAGAAAAGTGCAAACAGAATGGAAGGAGGGGTTACCTCAGGAAAAACGGGACTTTCAGCTCTTTGTTACTGCCCACACCCCCAGCGTGCTCACATTAAAATCCCTGTCTAACAACCTCCAGCCACATTACTTCCCCTGCAGATAACTCTCAGTGACACAAGGCAAAAGCACTCCCAGAGACAGAGAAAAAGTGGGCAGAGAGGCGGGCAAAGTGTGCGCGAACATAAAACGGGACGTTTAACGGGGACCGAACAGTTTGGACACAAGTCAGAAACAGAGAGAGACAGACGAGCGAAGCCACGTAAAAACACGACGACAAGCGGAAGTAACCAGGTCGTCTGGGCAGTGCTACGCTGTTGCCAGGCAACCAGGTGATTCCTCTAAAGAGCCGCTACAGGGGAGATTCCCTTGTTTGTATGAGGGCACTTACTCACTTGTGAGTCTGCCTGCTGGCTTGCGAGTGTGAGTTTGTGTGCGTGTGTATGTAAGTTAGTGCTGACACAGTGAGTGTACAATGATCTGGGATAGCACCCAGCAGGGTACAGAGGAGATAGGTTAGGGGCCATTTGTGGTTGTTTTCTTATTTTCCTCTTCGTGTGCATTCTATTTATTCAGCAATTATGTATTTATATTTGACGGAGGTACACGGAGTGCTGACTGTGGCAAATACCTACAGACAAGCAATGACAAGCACATAACAACGCATCACATACACACACAGGCAAACTTGGATATAGTCACAAGCTGTGGAAAATATTCAATTTGGAGAGCATCAACAAATCCCTGAGGTGTTGCTGACGTTTATACACGCTTCAGAGTATTCATAGCTGCTCACACAAACCACGACACTGATAATCGCACCTACACACTCAACCCCTCTCGTCTGCAGCAGAACTGGATAGAAGCAAAGAGTGAGAGACAGGAAGGAGAGTGGTGGGTCAGACAATAAAAAACACAAGCACGGCCAGGTTGTGGAGATGAAATGGAGTCCCTACTATTGGTAACTTGCACCGTATAAATAGAGGCAAGTAACAATGCAACTGACAAGCAGCTCTAACCCTGGAGATTCATTAGGGCTTGTCACTATGGAAACCTCCAATCAGAAAAAAATGCTACCCATTATTTCCTACAGTTAATGGGTCCGAGGAAATACCTCAGCTCCTCCAGACACAAATACAGTATATCCACACACACACGTGCACTCATACATACATGAACATGATCAGCACTGACCTCCGTCCCACCTTTTTTGTGTTTAAAGAAAAAGTAAACATCTGGGAGCATGTTGCCTATTATAAACAGCACCTTTGAGAAAGTACAGAGCGCAAGCACAGAAAATGTGTCTCTCATATTATAAACAGAGTTTAACTTGAGCACAATCGCACACAAGTTGGCCGTGCTTCGGGCGCACCACCAGCAGTGAAGGATATGGATGGCAGACAGCTCGAAGGCACCAGGAGCGGGGCGGGCTGGTTTGGGTCAGAGCCAAAAGAACCACCGGTGCAAGGGAGGGATATGGCAGCTCTTCCTTTCCGTCCTCCTCCCCTTCCTCCTCTTCCCCTTTGTGCTCCCACTCCTCCCTCTCAACTGATCCATGCACCTTTTCCCCCTCCTCTTCCTCATCCTCTCCCTCCTGCGTCGGTCCTTCGTGCTGCTCATGCAGGTCTGGCTCCTGGATGCCCGTCATGGCCGTGCTGTGAACAGCCGGAACCTAAAGGGGGGCGCGGGGGCATCGGCAGACACAACACACACACAATAACGTACTGATGGATGTGTGTGTATGTTTATCTGAGTGTGTTGTCAATGTCTTGCCGTGTATCTGGGGCTGCAGCTCCCAAAACAAAGTGGAATTCCACTGATTGGGAACCCTATTCACAGGCAAAGAATTTCAGCAACAAAGATATAGATGTTTTGTGTTTGTGTGTGTGTGTGTGTGTGTGTGTGTGTGTGTGTGTGTGTGTGTGT